TTATTCATGAAACTTTTTTTGTTCATAAGTTTTTTATAAACAATGAGCGACGGCTAAAACCTTCATATTATTATTCAGGGAGGTGACCTTGATAACATATGTCAAAATTGTTGAGATCGGAAAATAGTCCGTATAACTGCATAATTACCAGAAATTAAATCTTCCTTGACTAAATAACAGATTGCCTTATCATCATCTGATGATTAAACTCTCCGAGAGAGAAACAGTAATTTACCTTGAAAATATCCCCATAAACAATGCTCTGTTTCAATTTAAAATGCCAATTAGCGCGAAATAAATATTTACGATTCCCGAAGTATGCAATGACATTTCTCACAATTGATCTGCCAAGGATGAAACTTCGAACGTTTTCCGTATCGATTAAGAATTGCGCGCGTTTGCGTTGTTATTGAACGACTAACTATTCTTTTAGATTTTAATTAAAATGTTCAATTTGTTTGAGAATTAATTTATGAACAAGCAAATCGTAAAGACTTTGGCAAAGTTGTTTGGTGTTACAATCGTAATCTCATCTTGTGTTTAAATTTCGTGCTATAATAAGACTCTGCGAAGCGCGAAACTTTTGCGCATTATAAACGGAAGCGATTTGGAGAGTCGGAAATTTGAATCGTTTTCATTTCGTCGGGAGGATAAATTTGAACGATTAAACTCGAAAAGTGCTATTTTAAAATTTTTATAAAAATAAAGAGTCAATAAAAATATTTAAAATTCAGATATTTGCGATGTACGCGTTATAACATCATTCTGCGCGTTACGTTGATATTTTACGAGATAAAACAAATGTAATAAAACCGGTTCGGCAATTATTTTTGTAATTTCCATTGTGTATTGTTGTTACACTTCTCTCCTATTTTATTCTTTCGAAATAAAAACGACTTTACAGTTTTTTTTTTTTTTTTTCACATGCACATAAATCTAAACCCGGTCTCATTACGAATTCTAACGCGAAACGCATAATTAACTTTTTGTTTCCGATATATTCACACGTTTATTTCGCAGTGTATCCAATTATCTCGATGCAAATTGCGAGAGACACATATTGATTTTGAAATTCTATGTGATAATAACAACCAAAAGTATTCGCGCGCGCAGTCTGGATAATAATTTTCGATTACTCCATATACTTTGCGTCATCGACTGTATGTCATCGGTGCGTTAATCACCTGTATTGTTCTCAAATATAATCGAACGTGCGGGATCAAAGATTTTGGCGATTACCTCATCCCGATCGATACGCACGTTTTTGCTAATAAAACGAACACGTTCGTAATAGACGCAAATCCGTCCTTTGTTGCTCTAAAACCGCCTGACTCCGGTTTCCTTTCGCTTGTTGTCAGGAGCAAGTGATTTTCCCCGTCAATTGTCCAACGCTAACGCGGCGTGAACAATCTGGAGAGACGTTCATGACATCATGACGTCGTACGGAGAAGGACAACGCGTCCGCGACGAGAGAAACTTGACCTGAGAGAAGGCCACGTGAGACAAGGGAAAGAATCTTCCTGCCGCCGCGTGAGCGACAATGTCAGCGCTCGCCACGGATACGCCACTGTCGTCAACCGCCGTTGCCGAGGAAGTGACGACCGCTCTCATATCCGCCGTCACCAGGGACACGCGACTGGACGTCAATCCCATCGCGGTGATCCTGGCGGTCTCCGTGATCTGCATCCTGTCGCCCGTCACTATCACCGGCAACTCGATCATCTTAGCCGCTTTCTACAGATACAAGAGGCTCAGAACTGCGTCCAACTATCTCCTGGTCTCGCTGGCCATCAGCGATTTCGGCGTAAGTTTATTTATCCACACGACTCTGTTCTCGCTCCTTTATACAAGCAACGTTACGCAAAGTAGCAAATTACGTTAACGTGAATTTTGAAAAAAAAAAAAACGTTTAATTTTGCGCGAACAAGTCTCATTGCAGCAAGTTTCATATTTTTGTAAAGAAAAAATATTGAAAATTATTGTTTAGGTTTTTATTAATGGACACATTGCGAATATCTTGCGTAGACTCTTCACAATCTTGTACTTTTTTTACTTTTCTTTTGCAGTTTGTTAAATTTAGAGTCCTCTTTTAATCTTCCTTTTCCGTTTCTCTTATAAAAGAATTTTCGCGGTTTTGCGTCACGGCTGCAAACAAATTCAGTGTTTGTACGGTGGTCACTTTTCTCGCCGCTTTTGCGAACTGATTCTCAGCGGCATCAATCTTGCTGCGGTTTGACGTGTCTTCGCGGCCAACTTCCGCGCGCGATAAGGCACGCGTTATCCTCATTCATTTAGATCCGCGATAACAACCGGGGTGTTGGCTTTTTTTTTGTCAGGTCGGCGTGTTCATGCCGTTCGGGATGCAGCTGGAGCTCTCGGGTCTACCGGAAAACGGCGTTTCCACCCTGTGTATCATGCCATACTGCATCATCATCGCGCTCTGCAGCGTGAGCGTCCTGGTGACCGTGGCCATCGCGGTGGACCGTCTGACTTCGCTTGCGCAGCCGCTGAGATACAGAAACATCATCACCCACAGCAGCATAGAAAAGTACATCGCGGTCTTTTGGATATACGCGATCGCCGTCGGCCTCTCACCCCTCATTCACGCACAAATCATCGGAAGGACGCAGTCGTACAAGTAATAACTCACTTGCTTACTTTTGTAAATCGCCGATGTTTCGTAGACGTAGACAGTAGTGATTTGTTTAGATTTGTATACTTGTGAGTAATTTAAGGAAGAAGAATACTAATTTATTTAAGTGCCATACAAAACAAACAATTTAATTTAAAACCAAATTTTTCACAAGTATCGTGAAGACGGGCTACAATTTAAAATATAAGCGAAATATAATGGACGAATTATAATTTCTTATAACATCTCCGAGTTAATTCCGGAACAGATTAATTATTCAGTGTAATCTTTGCCGGAGAGTATCTGATTGCGAGAGTCTCGTGAATACATTAATTATTTAAAGATGATCTTCTCTCGGGAATATACTCCACGAACAACTCGTGAACCTCGCGATTGTTCACGTCAAGGAAAATACTGTTCTGTTTTAGCTACGGACGGAAGAATATACGCGAACTTTCGTTTAATCCGTGTAACGGTAAAGTAAAAGTTTAGATAGATTCGCTTTTTTTACAAAAATCCTCGAAAGAGATCAAGGTTATTTTTGTTTTTTTTTTTTTGCTTTTTAGCAGATTTGTATTCTGTTTTTAATCTCATCTTCCCACACACGCATATGAAGAAACACACGTATTATTTTCACAAACCCCATCGGTTCCGGAAAATTGTTAAAATCGCGTTGCCTATTCTAGTCACGTTCCATAAACAAAGAAAAGAGCAAATGTGTGCACAATTTCGCACGATATTACACGTCGCTATTCGTTCACGGTATTGTGTTCTTTCATAAAAAATAGTATTTATTCAATATTTCGATGACTGTCTGTTTTCAGTCAGTTATTTACAAAACATTAAACTTCGTTAACACCTACACGATGTCGCGTATCCCACGCGAGCGCATTCGCGAGACCATCTGGCGATATTCCAAATGATTTCACACAATTTTTAATTGATGCCGTTACAATGTTTCGACGTAAACCACCAAATATCATCAAACTTGTTTTTTGCGCAAACTGCTTCTTTTTTTTTTTTTTTTAACCAACTTCTTTTTCCGCTCTTTAAACATTCTAATTATAGCGTTATACGAGCAAACGCGAGGAATATAAAAAAAGGTGGTTTTCCGTTTGCTTCGCGCACTAAAGTGTAACAAAAGAAGTTTACACAGTAGCCTTTCATTTGCCTGTCCTCTACCGCGGGAGAAACGAACGAGCATAAGAAAACTTAAATAGAGCAAAAACGAGTTACACGTGCGGTATTTTTATTATCGCGCGATCGAATCGATATCTCTTCGCCGCACTTTAAAGTACACAGAGACGATGAAATTAATTAAAAGATCCGTGAGCGTAGAAATTCTAACTATAATCAATCCGGTGAGAATTTTACTCAAACTAACGCACTTCGGTGATTAAAATCTTGAAGATAAAGTCACTTTCTTTCTCTCACACACGCGTTTAATGTTCGTTCCGAGCAAACGTTTTAACGCATCGCGTTTCTACAAATAGAAAAAACGCGAGGAATCTTACCGAGAAATCATGGAGTGTATGAAAACACCCACGTGATTTATATTCGTCGCGGTTACATTATCCCTTCACGCACGTGTCGTCGTCGAAAGGAGCGATCTCGTTACACGGATGATACATAATAATTGAATTCCAGACTAACTAAACTATACATTATATCGCGCGCGTCGCCGCAGGACCAGACGGAACTTGAAATCTTATTTCGAATCGTTTTTTTTCTTTTATCAACATTCCATTATATTTAATTTTCGTTTTTCAACGCTTTATTTACAAATAACTCTCGTACAGAGAGCGTCTTCGTAACGTTCCTTCACATTTTTATCGTAACATAATTTTAATAACAAACGTGTCAGCACTCGGTCGTGATCTTCGACAGCTTGTCATCGAAATGACGTTTACGTTAAGCGCGGTCGCAAAAGTTATCGCAATTTATTATCGTATTTTTAATTACGATGCGAAGGGGGATAACATTTTAAATTACCTTCCGCGCAACTTTCATTTCGAGAAAATATTGAAATATTTTAACGATGTAATATTTGTATATCGCTTCAATATATACGCGATCAAGAATTTTGCGTTTATCTTTTTTTGTTTTATTTTTAATCATTATTTTCATCTTTCACCGTGGGAGGAAATTTCTAAAGAGCGTAATTTACAAGAAGATACTTCCGTCCGCATTCTTCTGTTTATAACAAATCGCCCCCCGTTGATTAATCGACGAACAGTCGATTTAATTTCGTAAAAAAACGGAGCGCAATTATGTAGATGCAAATTCAGAAAAATTGTTTGCACGTAAAACAAAAACAATTTTTCCGCGATAATCGGTCTTGCGCGACGCAATTGCAATTTCCGACATAAAAAAACTAACGCACGGAGATGAGGAGGAAGAAGAAGGAAAAGGTGTCAAATTATATCGCTTGCTTGCCGAGTCTAGCAGCGATATTAGCTCTGCGGTATATTGCTTGCACCACCTGGCGAGACGGGCGAAGCTTCTCACTCTGTGAGCCTCGCAGTATTGCGGGTCGTGCACGAGCGATCAAGCGACGCGCTAAAACGTTAGACTACAAAGGGCGACAAGAAGGTTCTTTCACCCTCTGACACGTACCTTCGCGCAATCAAAGTAACCCCTTGGGGAACCTTCGATCGATTCCCCCGGCGCGCACTCCGTTGCACATCCACCTCATTCGCGTTCATATCCGACATCGCATGCATGAAGACATAAATTTATATTAGCAGAAGAGGAAAGAGCGGAGAGAGAAAAAGTATACGCGCGAGGTTTGTGTTTTTTTTTTTTTTTTTTTTTCCAAGGAAACACGTACACGATATGTGATTTACTGATAAACGTGTGTATTCTGCGAGCTCGCAAATCACTCTAAAATAATCGGAGAAAACATGTAAACACACACTTCTGTCGCCGCTTATATCGTTGCTCATCTTTCCGATTTCTATTTGCTTAGATATAATCTGCGTTTTAATCTGTATTTTTCATTTATTCTTGTTTTTACTCTTCATATAAATGTAATTAATAAATGTATTAATAATTAATGTGTAAATAAATAACGTATTAATAATTAATTATCTTTCTGTTGCTATTTATTTAACGTTTATTTTATATTCTATTTATTTAACGTTAAACGTTGTTCTACATTTTACAGAGCGTGTTCTCATTTCAATATTAGCTTTTCGAACGTTTTTCTTCTATCCTTTTTTTGCAATTGCGCACTCAATAAAGTTATTATATCATCGTTATTATATTGTAAAAAGTAAAATAAATACATCGTTAGAGCAATTGAATGTGGCGTTCTGCTTTGAAAAGTTGCAATTAAATTTACATTTATCTCGACGTTTCATCTTACAGTGGAAGCTGCAGATTCGACGCGGCCGTGCTACCGCCGGTCCGGGTGTTCCTGGTCGTGGCAGTATGGGCGCCGAGCGCCCTCGTCCTGCTCGGCTGTTACATGTACGTTTATCTTGTCGCGCGTGCACACGCGCGCGCAATTTACACGGTGGAGTTGTCGTTCAGACATCAAACGCAGACGTTACTGCCGCGTTACGGACAGACGCTCGCAGTCACGGTCGGTGCTTTTCTCATCTTGTGGCTGCCGTTTCAAGTGAGTACTACTTGCCGCAGTGCACAGCAAAGAAATGTGAAACCAAAGAAAAGTTCTTTCTTTCTCTTGCGCGCGCGAAAAGATTTACGATCTTTCCGCTTGCGTAAAAACCGTGCCGTGGCGCGGCGAGAAGCACGTTGCGCCGCGCCATGTCTGATCATATAAACGCCGCCACTACTTGGACGTCGCGTCGGACACGCGCGACATCAATTTCATTTCGCTGCTGCGGTCGCCGTCGTGCACGCACATATATACACACACATACATACGCACATCACGTGCTCGCACGTGGAAATGAGGTTTAAGTTTGATATAGTGTTCATAAGACGGTATACGATATAGAGAGCACAAGCTTGTACATTCGATGCTCGTATCCACGCGCAGCAGCGCCGGTAATAAACAGAAGAGAAGAGACAAGAGAAAATAATAATAAGAAGGAAGGTCGAGACGCGTCGTATACGTCCAACGTATGTATGATTAACCTGTCACGCGACTTTTTAATCTCTCCCGAGACCGAGTTCACGATGCATACACACACATACGTGTGTGTATCGATTCTCGCCTTCCGTCCGTTATTCCCGTCCGCCTTTTAACATCGTCTTTCCGGGTCGTTTACGAAATTCCGCGACCAAACACGTTGACGACGTTCATCTCGGTCACAGACGATTACCTCGACACACAGGAGGTAATGACTTGTTTGCTCTTCGACGTGATTCTCAGACTTCGTGCATTTTTTTTTTTTTTTTTTATTTTTTTATTTTTTTTACCTCGCCGGTCTAAATCGCGGGCACAGGCGCGCGCACGCCGGTTTTAAGAGGATCAGATTTCATGATGAGCGTTTATTACGAGACGTTGTTACGTCAGACGCGTTTTATTGGGTAAAATTCAGTTTCTCGCGCAAGAGATCACACGCGATAACGAGATCTATTCTCTCTCTCTCTCTCTCTCTCTTTCTTTCTTTTTTTTTTTCTTTCTCGCCGCCTATGTTCTTCGCGCACGTTTGTCACATGTGTGTTCGAAGGATCACCGCGGATCGATACGGAGAATATCTCGGAGAGAACAAAGAAGAGTTAAATTAATAAGCTTACGCCCGCATGATGATGATGGGATCAAGTGCGGGATTCGAAATACATCTCGACGAGATATATATGTCGAATCCGGCGGCTCTGTCGAACACGCCGAACCCGAAGAAATACGAGCAAGGGGATACTTTTCCTTCTTTTTTTTTTTAAAAAAAAAAAAGCAATATCTCGCGCGAAGTTCTCGCGTAAATTCTGTTGACAAATCCGCAGCTTCGAGAGAGCCTAAGTACACTCGGTTGCTTAAGAGTTGAGAAACTGGCCGACTTCGAGAAACGGTGGTGTCAAGAGAAGCGATAAGAAAGTTTTGACCTTGGTTTGTCTTGACTTATTACTTTAAGCGAGGAAAAGTTTCAACGATCGAGGAACAATACGTAACTCGCGGAATTATGGAAAGAGAGAGAGAGAGAGAGAAAGAGATAGACGTGACGCAAGAACAATTTATACAAAAAATGACGAGACAAAAAAAGCGCTTCTCGCGTTCTTCTCAACGCGTTTTTGTTTTATGCGATCGCGCTGTAAAAAAATCCGAGCAAAATACGAGAATTGCAAGCACACAATTGCAAGCCCAGTTCCGTTCCTTTAGCGCGCGAACTTTTTACGGAATAAAGTGGCGCGATTTAATTCAGCGAGACTGTCGCTCATCGGTAATGATAAGCGAGAAATCGTTACGTCACGTGTCTCTCTGGCGCAATGCGGGAAAATCGCATCCCTTCGGGTTACGTCGAGACGAATTCGCTTCGCGGGACGCGAAAGCGAAACGGTCTCTCCGTTCCGCTTTTGAAAAATATTATGTCACACATATACATACGTATATACACATATACATATTTCCTATATATATATATAGAAAATAAAAAAAACCTCCGCGATGTGCATCGCAAAATAATTTTTATACGTGGGAAGAGACTTCAAAGGGCGCGTCGGCGGTTGCATCGACTTTATGCTTCGAGCGTTTTCTTCGGAAATCGATATCTATCAGTATAGCTTTGTTGTTGAAATTCCTTTTCACTATAAAACGGCGGCGGTCGGCCGCAGCGAACTTTCGAAAGCAATAATCGAGAACACATCTCTCTTCGTTTTCCAGACCTGCATGCTGGTCGACATATTTTGCGGCACTAACATACTGTCGAACTGGACGGTGGTGTGGCTGGGTCTGCCGATTCTCGCGCACAGCGGCGCGAATCCCTGGATCTACGCGTTTCATCACGGCGAGATGCGCGTCGCCGCCGGCAAGATCGCCGAGGATCTGATCGCGCTGTTCGGTCTGATGCCGAGTCGCTACGTCTGCTCGCCGATGAGACGGAGCATCAACGCGAATCTCGAGCTGGCCGAGGTGAACAACGACAGCAACGAGAACAGGCGATATCCGCCCGTCGAAGATTGCTTCGCGGTCGCCAAACCGCACACTGTTCTCTGCGCCAGCAGAAAGTGCCAAGACCCTTTGGAGAAACTCACCGATATCTCGCCCGAGAAGGACAACGTCGAGCACGCCGCGTCCTGCAGCAGTCGGGCGGACGACATCATCGAGGAGAACATCCACGATCTCACGAAAATGCTCGACCCGAAGTACATTATCGATCGGACCCACGTGATCGACTCCAACCACAACATCGACAAGATTCGAAACTTGAAATACCTGCTGGACCCGACCTTCAACAAGATCAGGCATCTTCGGCGACTGAATCATAAGCGGATAAACAGCAAGAACTTTCCGCTGATCTCCGAGCCAAAGTTTATATCCTATCAGAACTTGAAGAGCGACGGACCGCACAGCAGTCGCAGATTTTTCCAACTGAACGCGCTATCAGACCCGATGTTGAGCACCGACACACCCGGAGTGGAGACGAAGGACTTCGACGAGGCGATGTGCCGTGGCAACGGTCAGAGACGAAATTCGAATCTGTCGTCCATGTCGGATTCCAATCTCAAATCCGCCACGACGCACACTTGCGACGCAAACATAAAGCCATTCCCGACGAGCGGAAGCGGCGACGAGGATCACGGCTACTCCGTCCAGAATCTCAATCACGGATTCGAGGGCGCGTTAGCCAGGCACGCGATAATGCTCTACAGGCAGATCGAGGAGCAGCGAAGAGCCAGCAAAACCACCTCGCCGCATCCGCGACCGAAGTTCCGCGGCTTCGGGCGCGTGAGTCCGAACTTGAAGCTCAAGCTGAAGACCAGTCCGGCGTCTTCTTCATCGGCGCCCAACAGCGCCCTGCCGAGTTCCGAGGCGAGCACACCGAGGCGCAGCGCGTCGCCGAGCGTGCCGCACGTGACCATCACGCCGAACAAGTTGGCGAATCTCATCAACTTGGATCCACCGTCGTCGAGAGGCGCGTCCGCGCATCACCGAGCGGACCTTACTGCCAGAAATGTGATGCAAACTCGCAAAAACCTGGACGTCCTGAGGCACTCCGAGTCGATAAACACGATCGATCCGCACCGCGTAATTCTACTCGAACCCTGCAACTTGATGGACACCCTGATGGTTCCGACGATACACTCCGAACCTCCCAGTCCCATTGAGCCTCTTCCCGCGGCCTCACTTCAGAACGAGGAGACTCAGAGTCTCGAGATCCCGCGCGACGTCGCCATCGACATTGCGACGCAACGCGCGAAGTCACCTCTAGGTAAGAGAAGCAGCCCCGTGAGACACTCGGATCCGGTGATACCCACCGTGCTGCTGAACATCGAAGACTATAGCGAGCCGTCCGAACAACAGAATGATAATAATCAGAGCCACGATCTTCCATCCAGCAACACGCCGATGTTGGAGCCGATCGATCTGTTCGAGGCGCTGCTGAAAAACTCGGACAAAGGTAGAGACGTAAGACTGCCCGATCCAATCTTCGCCGAACACGATTCGACTAGATTCAGTTCGAGGCGACCGTCCGACTCGAAGTGGTCGGAATCGTCGAGAAGTCAGGAGATTCTGTCGAGCGTGACGGAACGTGACCTAACATTTCCGTCGTCCTATTCGGTCAACGATTTCCAAACGTGCAACAGCAGTAGTGATCTCAACGACGTCACGTCCCTGGACCCGTTCATGTGTCCGGACGCTTTGTCGTCGTCGCTGCGCGAGTCGTTCTTCAGCGCGCCGTCCGTACCCGACTCGGACATTTTCACGTCCTTCGAAGATAGCGACGGGGCCCCGGTCCTTACGCCCGACGTCTTCACGCCCGATTCCGAACGCGACAACTCGTCGGCGTACAATTCGATGTCGACGGTGAATCTCCGACGATGCGTGATCGAGGCGGCTTTGCAGAGCAGATCGACGGAGTCGGTCCATCGCGCCGGATACCCGTCGACGCGATCCTGCGCGATCCTCCGACTCGAGCCGGAGGTGCACTCGAGCAAGCTGCGTGTTCGACACTGCGGGAATTACATCCTGAAGGACCCGCCGGTCAAAAGGAATCCGCAACTTGCGCCCCTCGCCATCCCCACGCCTACCGACATTTGCACCCCGACGTTCGACGTCGTGTCGGAGATCAAGAGCGACAACGGCGTCGGCGTCAGAGTGTGAACTCCCTCGCTGGGAACGAAATAAACTCGGGGGGGAACACGTACGTCACCGTGTGTACAAAGTCGACTGTGTTTCAAACTGCTAATTAATCGTCGTATTGAGAGAGAAAACGCGTTCTGTGTGGTCCAAAGCATTGCCTGCGAATCGATGCGTTGTTACGCAAGCGTGCGATTGCGTTCGTGTACCGCGAATCGATCCGCGAATCATGAGACGGTTATTTCGAAATTTTTGCTAAGGTGAAATTGAAGTCTTGCGGGAGACGTCGAGTTAAGCTTGTAACCTGTTATTGCTTGTGTACCTGATAAAAAAATGATATATTTGTTGACTAGAGCGAGGAAGAGAGAAAAAGCTCGTGAATATATTACAGAAGTTACTGGAATATTTTCTTCAGCAAGATGTGTAGAATTATGCTAAAATCTACTGCGATATGTCGATAACGCGATTTTGCGAAGCCAAATAAAAATCTGTAATTTTTTTGCCTTACTTTTGCGAACGTTTTTTTTCTCGTGCAATTTTTTGAAAAAAAAATGTTCTAATGTTCTAGAAAAACATTATTTCTCTTTAATATTCATTGCATTTCTCTCACGAAGATGAAAGAAATGTAAGGAAATTTTTAATTCGTTCGCATTTCAACAAATTACATTTTCTCACGCACGTTTTTTCGTTTCGACAATAATATAATAATGGCAATCCGCAAAATCATACATAACGTACAAAACTGATGACGAACAGAAGCATACGCGAGATGAATAAAAATGAGGATGTTGAAGGGAGAGAGAAAGAGAGAGGCTAACAAATATATATATATATATATATATATATATATATATATATATATATATATATACATATATATTATATACGATTGATGGAGGGAAAGGAAGGACCAAAGTACAGAAGAAGTGCAAACTTCACAAAGGACAAACAATAGCATTAGACGTACTATTTTCTTTATGACATTTCATCACACGTCGGGTGCGCGACATAGTGACATTTTTCCGCGAACGTCTTGTGAAGATCTTTAACTTTTGTATTACGTCGCTGTGTAAAAAATCGCTTTTCTAGCTAGAACGAAGAGAGTATTTATTGAGAACGCGAGATAAAAAAAAAAAAAAAACTCGCGTTGATCCTCACAACTAAATGCCAATTAAAAAAATACTAAAATACTTTTATACGTACGATAATCGAGAGAGAGAGAGAGAGAGAGAGAGAGAGAGAGAGAGAGAGAAATCACGCGTGTAAATGTAAATTATTTTTATCATGTACTCTTACATTTTTCAAAAAACATAAAGTTTCCTATATACTCCATGTACCTAAACGGTGTCTCCGTGAAATAACTTAAGCGACGTACGTGAAACAGTTTAAGCGGTGAATAATTTAAATGCAACTCGTACCAAGGGAATATTTTATGACACACGCACACTGACAGGTACGGAGGGAGAGGGAGCCGGCTGATTAAAAATAGATCTTTCTTTCTTCTCGTGTTCACGTTGACTGATCTTTCGATTCGTCTTCCATGGGACTTTGTAATGATGTAAAAATTATAAATATATAGACACATTGCACACACATACATACACGTACACACACATAGGATCTTTCTCGCCGCTATATACCGTTCATTCTTTTTTTTTCCTTTTTTGTCTTGCAATAACATAACGATCAATAAAAGTACCGACCATCAGTATTGATCGTTTTGCAATGAGACGACAGAACAATTTTCTACAGAGTTCGAAAGAGATATAGAGACGATAAATGTGTAACGACTCTTTTTCCGAAAATACATCCTCGATTATACGCAGTGTTATCCTTCCGCGCGATCGGTTTATTTTATTGCAAGTCACACACGGATATACACACGGATTTACACCGTGAGAGTGAACTTTTGTTTCTCACCAAACTGAGCTTTCGTCATTTCTTTTCACGGAAGACACTGTTGCAATATACGAGTTCCGTAAGAATGAAACTCCAGTATTCACACGGAAGTGACAGGCACTGATATATTTTTATGAAGTAACTTTATCTACTTGTTCGTAAGTGTTAAGCGTGAGAGAGCGAAAAAAAAAAAAAGAAGCCTCGAATTCGCGCCTAATGCGATGTCCGAAAGAACGTGGAAAGAGAAAAAATGATCGCGATGAGGCGCGCGCAACGCATCCTTCCTTCTAACATTGAACACGATTTCGAAAAAAAAAAAAAAAAAAATAGAAATACGTAGCGACGAGCATTGAAACGCCAATGAAGAAATATTGATTGAGGAAAAAATAAAATAAAATAAAAATGCGAATTAACAAATTTTAAACTCTACTATATCCTAAGAAAGAAAATCTTTCTCTCGTCCGTGTTTAAATGGTCTCCTATAATGTATTCGCCTAATAAGAAAAAATCAAAGAACGAATTTGAATGAAATGGAGAACATGTGTGTGTGTGTGCGTGTTATTGTCCGTTTCCGTTAATTTCCGGATAACGATAATATATCGGTCGATTACGCGTCAACCGCGATTGGTGTGAATTCAGTTAATCGACCGACACGATGACGGGTCAGTTTCCGACGGAATATAACCGGTCAATTCAGTTAATCAGAAATGACGGAAACGGGCGTTATAGTCTGTTAAGATTATTATTTTTTTTTTTTTTCTAGAAAATAAGGAGATGTATAACGCGAGAATCTAGATGTTCTACCGACGAAATACATTTCTTTTTATAACGTGCTAGTTTCGAACTTACAAAAAAATTCGCCGGAAAAAATGTTCCGACGCGTGTAACGATTCAACGAAGACTAAAGAAACTACAATGGAGGAATTAATGATCATTATTGCCTGGTTAAGCGTCGGAGCGTGAATTATTTCTCGTTATTTTTTACAGAACCGCGTGGATACAAAAAAAAAAATATAAAAAAAAAAAAATTCGACGCGGGAGGTGTGACGACGAAGAGGTTACGTCGCGAATGTTGTAATTATACAATCATGTGTATGTTTTTGTATATATTTATGTATACAAAAAATATATAATACCTCTCAATTAGATCTAAACGTATAGCGTTTCTCTTTGCGATCGTTCCGATGATTGTTCCCGATCCTCTTTGTCCTTGTTTTCAATCCGCTTACTTGACTAAGAGAGACATCTTCTCCTTCGCTTATCTTCTTCTTCTTATTATTTACAAACAACCACATTTTCCTCTCGTCTTCTTTTTTTTATATTTAAATTTTCTTACAGTCAGCTGCAAGCCGTTCGCGTACATACCGTCGCACTTGTATCCGAGATAAACCAATTTGAATTTGGCGATATTGATTATCGATTATTGTCGATTCGACTTGAAGCGACTGCAAGCGCCGCTTTTCTGATAGTTTTGTTTTCGCGCACCATCTGTCGTGAAATTGATAAAGTTATCGATTTGAATTTCGCGTGACCTCTTTTGTCATCATTTGCGCAATACCGTTCTTCGAGTCCAAACACAGTCTTGTTATTTGTATTTTGTCCTTGACTACGTTCAGTCAGCAAATACGCGAAGGTACGAGCGGACATATTCCAGCGATCTACGTGGTGTCTCAAGTGATTTATCGAGAACAAAAGATATCGGTAAAGTAAAATATATTCTGTATAATATTCGCGTAAGCCAATTTTTCGTTTCGTTGTTTTCTCGGAAGAATGTAAGGATAACGTCTCGAATCTTCTTTCGAGACAACTCTGTTTTGTGTCGATTGAGTTATTCGGTTTTGAGACAAAGGCATTCGTTAATTTTGAAAACGAGGTTTAATTCCACTTGTTCGTGTTTCGGCACGTATTTTCAGATTTTTCACATCTAAATCAATCATGGATACATACGTGATGAGCAGCAATAGATTCAACAATATGAGAAAGATGTTGCGAATGAAGGATAAATCTTTGGAATGCATTTGCTACAGACCGCATTCTAAGATCATATGCAACAGTTGTGGATTTTGGACCAAAGGGAGAGTGAGACACTGTTGCCCACAACATCCTCAGGTTATAATGCTTTTTTGCTTTTTTTTTTTGTAGCATAAATTAATAGCAAAATTTCAAGATATTTTTCTCAAACCTATTGTTTATTTCTTATTTTACAGATGATATTCTTATATGACTATGTTACATGTCCACGTTGCAAGAGCTATAACTTTATGCTGACAGAAGTTTGAAGTCACTGACATCCATAGCAGAGAAGCCACAGAGATTAGAATGTTAGATATAGGTAGATATTCATAAACATAAGACTGTTATTCATACAATAAACATAGCGACATAAGACTGTTGTTTATTCATGTAACAAATATTTTTTCATATAATATTCATATAATAGTGACATAAGAATGTTATGTTCTGAATCAAGCGTGATATTTTTACTTATTTGCATTAGAGATAATTGTATAATTGAACTAATTGTCAAAATGTTTGTAGGCTGTTTAGGTATTAAGTTAACTTGTTTTGTTTTCATATATATATATATAAAAGTATTATTAAAATGTATAATTGTGTGTAAAGAACAGTTAAAAATAATGGCAACAATGGAGATTATCACATGATGAGATTGAATTAATGGCAAATTTTTCGGTGTGTTCAATGTATGTTGTTATAAAAAATTTGCATTCTCACAATTAAGCATCATCTGACTCTAGATTCTCCTCTTTAACATCTTTCTTTACAAGACCAGAAAGAAGAAAATGTTTCAAAGTAAAGACTTAAAACCTAATGCATATCCATGTGTGTCATACATATTAATATTCTATACATATATATATATATTTGCTTATGCATGTGTATATATATACAAGTAGTAATGATCGATGGATATTGCTATTTATTCTGTGATGATCTAGAATAAGCAATAGAATATTAAAACATTTTGACAATATGTTCTTAACAAATTACATACATTATATTATATATATATATATATACATAGTTTGTATTCTTGTTCTATAAAGATTCAGTACTTTTTTCTTTTTTTTTTTTTTGATATTTTGATAAAAGTGTTTTTCCGTCTTCTTTTTCACTTTTATTAAAATAATTGACTAAGTACAATACAAGTGTGATACTAATAATATTAATGTAAGCTAAGATTTGTTTCTTTAGTTTCGAAATAAAAGTGTAACTTTTTTCTATTTTTGTATATGATTGAATAAAGCTCACGTTAAGTATAATCGGCAGGTGTATTTCTTATATTATCAGACTAATGTACCTGTGTATGTTTTTGAACTTCTTGTGTGAAAGCAATATTTATGTTTTGTACACATGAAACTTTTTCTTTCCTTACTGTTTTTTTTGTTTTGCTTTATCCGATATGTTTATACTCACTTATTTACCGTAAGTCCCGCCAAATGATACGTCAACTCGTGCACTGGCGTCTTATTGGTAATGTTGGACATACAATTTGTGCGCATGCTCTTTACGTGATTTTACGTGTCAGTTTACATTCTTCTCTTATCTCGTTGCCGGTTGTTATTTTCTTCAATCGTCATTTCTCAGATTAGTAAGGAACTCCGAAAATAATACGAGATTTTTGTACAGAATAATGTAACAACTACACATTACGGTTTATTGAGTCACAACATCAAACCAAATAATAGGAAATAAATTTCTTATATTTGCTATAGAAATCAGAAGAGTTTTTCGCAGATATAAATATCCGTTATTTTGTTTAATTTTTCAAGTATATGTTACTTGTACATTAATTAGGAACTATAACCAATTATTCTGATAGCGCAACAATGGCACTAAGTGATCAAGATTATGATACTGATGATGAAGACCAGCTACAATCAAGTCAGCCGTATGGTGTGAGAGAAGCTACCTTATTTCTCGTTGATGCATCTGAAAAAATGTTTGACAAGGATAAAGACGAAAATTTGAGTTATATACAAAAATTTTTAAAGGTTAGATATACTGTGCATACCTATTTTATATAGGTGAAATGTTACGCATTAAGATGCTTTCTGTTATCTCGTAATTTTACTAATCATTCTTTCAGCTTTATAAACAAATTGTACGGCGAAAGCTAGCATGGAATATGAAAGATTATTTGGGTGTAATATTATTTGGCACAGAAAAGAATGATGCGGATTCAGCGTGGAAAAACATTCAGACCTTACAAAAACTGAAAGTCGTCACCGTGGATGATCTCCTCTTAGTCAGAAACTTGAGTAAATATACTTATAGTCAATGGTGCTCTGTGTGCTTTAAAAGGCTATTCAACAGTTTTATTTCACAATTATCTGAAAATTTTTGCAGAAAAAAATAATATGAAAGACTACAAGAGCTTGAAATCTAGAAATTATCCTCTCCACGATGCTTTGGCATTTGCAATGGACATCTACTTGAATACAAAAACTGTGTTTACAAAACGTAGAATAATTCTTATTACTTGTCACAGTCCTGAATTGACCAATGAGGAGAAACATAGCATCCGAGTCAAAGCAGGCTCTTTAAAAGATTTGGATGTTGAGTTGCATGTGATCAGTATGGACAAGAACTGGGTAGTCGATCAGTTTTACAAAGATTTAATAATGCTGTCGAAAACAACAAACGTAGATGGTGAAATGTCAGTGGTAGACCTGGTGCAGCAGATTCAAGTACCGAACAAGAACTTAGGGCGCTTGTGCTTTATAATAACTGATGGTTTGGAACTCGATGTGGCTATACGTACTCTGTGCAGGTAAGAATCTTTACATTAATAAACATAATATATTAATATAATGCATAAAATCCATACTCTCTCTAATAACATTGGAAACACATTATAGAAAACGTAGATCATTGCGGACAAAGTTATTGAGTAAAGCGACCAATGAAGTGTTGACGAGAACTACGTATTTCAAAGCAAATGATTCCGATAACGATGAGGTGCGTATTTTTTTCTCTATAACATGTAATTAAAACTTCTTTATAAGTTGCAAACATTAAAATATCCCACATGTTCCATTATATCTGCAGGAAAATAGTGACGAAGACGACTTTAACGTACCGTTCATGATACCAGAGGAAGTTCGTTTCGTAACGAGGGATGAGATCGGCAAGAGGAAATTGCGCTTTACGCGAGAAGAACGTGCCAAAATGAAGCATCTCCATCCATCGTCCATCAAAGTAATAGGCACGAGACCTTTACCTGATGATCTTTTCAGATATCATGTTAATCGAAAGTTCTTTGTTACACCGGATTACGGCAGCACTCGTAAAGGTGATGCACATAAAAGTAAATGCAAGAATCTAAATGTGTTAAAAAAGAAGTGAGATTTTTATTTCTTTCTCACAGACAATCTTCTGGTCTTTGGTGCTTTTCTAACCCAGTGCGCAGCTAAAAGAAAAATGATAGTTTGCGCGATCACAATGCGGAAAAATACTCAAACTAATTTGTGCTACATGATACCGAACGTTGAATGGGGTGGTTTTTATTTGTCAAAGGTCGCATTTCAAGGTATGTTACACTTTGCATTAATACAATGTATAATTGTTTTTTTTCTTATTTTATTTTAAAGATATTCTCGTTAGAGTATATGTTTAAAGAATGTATTGTTATACTTTAGGAGACGTTGGAGACAAAAGCTCGGTACTGCACCTTTATGATACACAGAATTCTGTAACTGACAAAGAAGTCAAGTTGTGGGAAAAAACAATCGATCAACTGGACATAAATTATCACCCGCATATGTTCAAATCCCACAAGTTGGAATGTCAAATACAAATGGTAGAGAGATTAGCTTTGGACAAGGAGCCTGGTGAGCCGCCGATTAATACCATGGAACAGTCATGTGAGTTACATTGTTACAGTGCAATTATATAAATAAAAAAATTCATATAAATCATATATATTGCAAAAAGAATTATTAATGAAGATATATTCTATCACTTTTTATTTACTATTTATTTTATTTTATCACTATTTATTAATTTGTACTTTGGTTTTTCAGTTACGAAGGCCTGCGAGAAAGTAAGACCCTTAATACCTGAGTTTAAGGAAATGTATTCCAACACATTCAATGAACCTTCGAAACCAAAGCGAGCTAGGAAGAAGTAAAAAACAAACAGCAAACATGCATTTTATAATCATTGAAACTTTATATTTAAAAATTAAATATTTACTTTAATATTATGAGAGAAATATTTTGATATAATCTTAATAAAATTTTGCAATTGTATACACATTATATCAAGTAATGAATGTTTACATATGTTATGTGTGAAAGAAGATATCTAAGAAAAACAGTTTTATAATTATGTAATGTAAATAAAGTATTAATTTGTGGACCTTTTACATGGTTTTACGCTTTATTTATTTTTCATATTTTTTGATAAAATACAGATCTATAGTTTTATGTTAAAAAAAATTCCTGTTTCTTTGAAGTATGTTTCTATAACATTTGTAAGGCTTAACATTATTTACACTCTTTTTCTCTATTGTATTTAGTTTAAATTTCAATGTAGGCACTTGGATAACAGTATAAAGGCACTGAGAAGGCATTAGAACTGACTTACTATATAAAGAATTAAACACAGATAATATCTTATTTTCTTATGCTTAAAACTATTGCATAAAATAAAAACTATATTATCCAAATTAATTTCAAATAAGTGTCAAATAATATTTTCTTTTACCCATTGCAAAATAGTTTTTGAAAGATAAAGAATGTAACTTGACAATTACGTACAAATTAAATTGCCTTTAAGTATTTTCTTTTAATCATGAGTGTATGCACGTATATAATATATATTATCTGTGTTCAAATCTATTGTTACAATCACATTAGTTTCAAGTAGGCCATCAGAGAATTAGAATTATATATATGAAAATTTTGCTCAATAAGAGATTCTGAAAGTTCCATAAATTGTTATACAGATTCTTAAATTTGATATAAAATGTATTATAAATATATATAGCAAAGATTAAGATATGAAACTAGATTTTACACACTTCTCTGACAATCTTAAAAGTATCATAAAATAATTTACTTATTAATAATAAATCCTATACAACTATGAATATCCTTGTTCTCGTAACCAGGCAGTCTAAAATGACACTCTTTCCAACATTTCTCCCACATTCTCATTGCAAGCAAGAAGGCTTAAAGTACGATACATGTGCTTTTTTCACGAAAGGGATTGGACTTTTGCGACGAAAAACCAACCAACAGACAATCTTCTTGCTCGTGCTCGGTGATGTACTTCATGATGTCCTCGACAGCTTTGCTCACCGTGATTCGCTTTAAAGCAGCCTCCCGGCGCAACTGCTCCGTCAGTTGACGTTGTTGTTGCAAATTCGTGATCACCATGTCCATAACAGCTATATGCGTGTGACAGAAATCAGAAAATCGTGTGAAACTCGGACAAGAGAAAACGAGATACATACAAAAGGAAAATACACGTCGAAATCTACCTGGACCTGCTTGTTCTACGCTCAAATTCTACTCTTACGGATCGTAACAAACGATTGACGGTTTCTCTTTGTGAAACGAGTTCTTGCTAATTGCTTTTCTTATTGACATCCACTTACTGTGGTCCCCTTTTGTTGTTTGGAATATCTTTCAATCATAAATATGTATTCACAGAATTTGCTTTTCCTGTGCCGTTCCCTCAAGGCAGACTCACACACATCTTGCGCTTGGTTTGGTTTGGTTTGGTTTGGTGCAAATATGGCTCTTGGACCATAAAGATTAGTCCACACGCCAGTCTGAGTATATATGCGCCCTTGTGTTTCCGGAGCACCTTGTGTTTCTGGAGCGCATGTGTTTCCGGAGCGCTTTTCGTATACTGTCTTTAGAGCCTATGTCACACTACGGATTTGGATTGAAATTGGATTGCAATTTGATCAATAAGAGCGAAGATCAGTAAACTTAGGATTGGTTTTCTTTCTTCTGATTGGTCAAATTTCAATCCAATCTCAATCCCAATCCGTAGTGTGACATAGGCGTAAAGATTGTTCGTAGATCACAGCGCGTATTGGAGACTAGGCTTGCTCCATACGCAACGGAGCACACTGCATGGAGGGAGACAAGAGTTGGTAGGGAATTTTGTTGGGTAGCAGAGAGGTTTAAAGAGTTTTAGCAGAAAGAAACCTGAGAGCATATATGTAATACTCCTATATTGCTAGTCGCGTATCTTCGCAATGAGAGGCACGAGGCCCGAGAAAGGGAGACGCACGAAGTCCAAATATGGGCATAGATGGTCGAGCGTCATTATGTTCACCGCATGCGCACAAAGCAGCTGGAGAGAGAGGCTACTATATTGTCTGCACCATAACGGTGAGCTTCAGGTCGGCACCGTACTAGCAATATAAGGCGATTTTTGGCGATCGTATGGTACATATACCAAAGTGTACCAAACTATAATTTGAAGTCACTCAAACTATAGTTTGGTACACTTTGGTATATGTACCATACGATCGCCAAAAATCGCCTATAGGAGTATTACATATATGGACCAAACACGTTTGTGATCGATTGAGCTCAAACAATGGCTGCGTTCAGCAGAGCTCAGCGCTTATTGTCTGTGATTGGCCTCTTCCTGTAAATCTATTTGGTATATAAAAGTATGTGCCAATGACAAACGACAATTGCAAAGCGCTTGCTAAGAGCGGCGTCCCATTGAGCAAAATTGCATAACGGGAACGGAATGCACAGAACCACAGGTTTATTACTTGCATAAACGAGGCTTAAGCCATGAGCAAGTTTTCGTTCACAAGCGCCGCGATGTCCACGTTTGAACATAACGTACGTACCGACAAGTCGTTCGTGGACATGGCTACGTAGTTGCTAATGTACACCACCCATGGACATTGAGCTGGCTTGCAGGGAGGTAAAGCGATTACACATTCTCTTATGGATTTGGCCGCTCTCAGTCTTCTCTCTGCTCGGTGGAATTATACTACCTCTTGTAGCACCATGCGTTCCTGATAACTTTGATATTATTTTCGCCGATTTGAACGACACGTATTTGAATCGACTAGGCTGTATTGTGGTCGCACTATGCTGTTTCAAGTAAGGATTAAAATAAAATAGTCAAATGATTCCAAGTGCAATTATACATATATATAATATATTATTGTGTAAAAGTTGCATTTATTACTATTTATTTTTAATTGTACATTATCTTTGGACAATAACTAATCTCATAACAAAAAGAATGACTCTTTGAAGGTCCTTTCAGTTATATACGAATCACTTCAAACCAACATCACGTGAAATTATATTTGTTTTTCTGTATGAACAAGATATTTCGCAATACACGGTAATATACTGTATGTACTTACTCAATAAACGGTGAAAATAATTACTAGCTTTCTCGTGAGAAATTATTTTTAATGAATTTAATGCACACAAATCTTGATGGACATTGTCTTTTAAAGTTTTAATGCGCAGATCAATTAGAGGATTCAAACTCATATTATTTGAAAATATGAAAATTTAAATTGTTAACAATAATAATCAGTGAAAGACACTCCTAAAGTAACTCTTGTAATTTCTACTCATGTACGGAAAAGTTACGCGATTTTTTATAGTAAATTCTTATTTATTTATACAAAACTTAAATCCATACATAAACGAATATGTTTTAGAAATATAACATTTTATTTTTTTTTTTAAACAACAAAAATTTATAAAATATATTTTTTGATTACGACTTAGATTGTACATGGTTTCTATAAAATTCTTTTAGCGCAGACCATTGTGCCGTATGGAGTAATATATGCGGTCTCTTAGTTTGTATATAGCTTACTGCTTCTTCGGGTGTCCAATTATTTTTCTAAACAAACAAAAGATGTGAGATTTACTGTTAAGAATGAAATGTTCTAATTTTATATTCAGAAGACAATGAAAACTCTTACTACTATTAGGTAGCACGCTACCAGTGTTGCGCTTCTTGTTCTTCCGGCTTTGCAATGAACGTAAACTGTGCCACATTTGTTGTGAACATCGACACTGTTAGAATTACCCAGCATTTTAGTTGGCACAGAACGAAATTTGTTAATAAAGTTCACACCACTCTGCAATTTTTCCTGCGAGGGTGATTGAAAGATATCTGTTGTAGATAATTGTAAATATTCTACGTTGTATTGCTGCCACTCCTGGATGAAAAATATCATATTAATGATTTATACATACATAATCATTTTATGCAAAATCTTCTGAAATTTTTTTGGCTGTGTTCGGAGAGCGCATCATTTGCGCTATTGCTATCATAATATCGCTCATTAAATGTCGAAACAAAAATAGAATACCGCAATAGCGTTGATAGCGCGCTCTCCAAACGCGGCCTCTGATATGTAGTCTTTGTAATATTTTCTCTTATTATTAAAAAAATGTTATTTAAAAAAACGTTTTACTGTCGCGCACCTTGTTTGTATTGCAAAAAAGTAGCTCGTAGTCTTCATTCATAGATACAACAGCCTTGAGATCTTCATCTTCAACTAACTGAAATAAAGAAAGAAGGAAATGAATAAAAAACACCGCAATAATTTTTTCTCTCGAATAATTGAATGACGAATGTTATTCGGAATTGCGATTATTAATGATATTAAGATTCAAAAAATTATATGGCACTTTTTTATCGTTATTAATTACGCGCATTTTTGTGATACAGATGTAAAAAGTAACGTTTTAACAAAATTAAACTTTTTTTTCATATATCTCTTTTATACAGAATAAATAATAATAATAATTTTCAATACAAATATTTGTACATACCTGCTTCGTCAATCGCCGAAATGGTAAGGCGCCTAATATAACAGTTTCGTCTATTCTGTCGTACCAATTTCGAGATGTAATTTTTTCCATAACGATGTTGTAAAATAAAGTTGGGAAGAATGTCACTCTCGCAAACATTTTCGCTAAAAACAATTTTTTATCAGTCGTAAACTCTGAGATGCTGATGTAGATTTTTATTTAAAGAGCCGCAGCGCGTGATATGAGCACAAACTTTCGAACGTCCTGAATGTCTTCTTCCGATCAGGCGCAGATAACGGTAAATCTCTGTTCACTTATTTAAAACAAGTTTATGTTAAATTTCTCTTTTTTATTGTTGTTATTTTACCTTGTTATTAGAATGGAGATCTTAGATTATTGACTTTTCGATTCAATATATCTACATGTGATTGTCTGAGCAGCACTGCACGAATGAAAGAAATGAAAATTGTGTTTTAGAGAAGACGAGTCAACTCGCGAACTTGACTCCCACTCCGGCGTAAAAGTAAAAGGAAAAGAACTGAAGGAGGAGAAAGAAACACGTGGGGGGGAAAGCCCACCCATTGATACAATCTGTAGTTTTAGTCTGTACATTTGCAGACTGACTTGAATATTTTTAAATATTTATTCACACTATGTAAGACAGACATGAAATCAGAGAGAGAAGAGTTAAAATACAATTGTGGAACATCATGCACGTAACAGAAAAAAATCGTTTTATTAATTTAAAAAAAAAAAGAAGATATATTTAGATAATAAGTCATTTTTAAAGATTAATTTTTGAGTACTTTAGTATTGAAGAATGTTCAGAGTACGAGAGGAGAAAAAAATATTTATATAAAACTTGAAAATATATTTTTTCATTTGAGTTTTCATTTGAGTTTCAGTTTGAGAAATTTCATAAATTAATATTATAACAATCTTAAATTACATACACTCTTTATTATTTTCATTAAGCTAAACTAACATTGCGTTCCTGTGATTTTTCTAACAAATCATTATCTAAACAATAACGACCTAACTCTCCTTTTCTAAATGAGCTGATAAAACAATCTGCTGCAGAGTGTAAATCTGGCATTTTTTGAAGACCATCATGATACTTTATAGTCTTAGTTTTTCCCAATTTTGCGGCGATGTACGTAAGCACATATGTCACATTGTCATTTGGTTCTTGCAAACCAAATTTTTCAACATATTCAAATCGGCTATTCCTGTTCAGCCAATAGAGTAGATAATCAGCAAGCATCTCTATTCCTATTATATTATCTTGTATACACCCTACTAGAGCTAATTTAAAGCCAGTATGAAAATTTGTAATAGAAGGAGCTAAAATACCTGGTGTATCCAACAGATACACCTTTGGATTTTCTGATATCTTTATTTGTGTTAGTACAGCTCTTGTAACACCAGGTATTGGACCAACTGGACTGGCTTTGGACATGCGAAGATGATTATTTCTTAAACGATTAATCAGAGAAGACTTTCCCACATTGGGCACGCCAATAACCATCAAGGTATAAGATTCATTTGTTATTCTATTAAAACGATTTGAATTCTTTATTAAGTCTGTGGCTAGAGGTAGAATTTTCTTCATGCCTTTGCATTGTTCTTTTTTGAGATTAGTGAAGATAACATTGGATAGCCTTTCTCTGTTTAATGTAGACATTATACTTTCTTTATACTTGTCATCAGCTAAATCCAGTTTGCTCAGAACAAGTATATGTGGTTTCAGAGTCGTCAGAGTCTTTCTAAAATCTACATAACGCCCAGAAATTGGCACTCTTGCGTCATGAACCTCTATGACACAATCTATATTTTTTAATTGCTGTTGCATCTGTCTCAGACCTTTTGACATGTGGCCGGGAAACCACCGGACTACATCATTAAAAACAAACTTTTTTCGCAGATTCGCCACTACTTTACCTCCTGGGTTTGACATGTTGCAACTTTGTCTTGTACGTCTGTTGTCTTCAAAATGATGGGTTTTTGCCAAACTCTGAAACATGATAAAAATAAGAAGTCGTTCACAAACATCTGGTGTTTCATCACAAAAAACTATAACATGTACATATTCCATATAGTGTGTTGAAATATTCAGAATATTTTCAAGATTTCTTTTGGCGAGTCTGTAAATCAAATGTTGGTGTCAATGAAAACAGATGGAATATAATAACTCGTACAATAGCAGAAGACAGGACGGCAAAACAATTTGAGGTTATCGCTCACAAGATCAGTTTCCTGCGGTCGGAGATCAAAATAACAATAGAGACAACGTGAGAGCCACAGGAAGGTACATTTCCATGAAAATACTGAAATACGTAAACACAAAATTTGAGTGAAAATAATTTCTTTACGAATTTACGTAACGCATATATTGGTCGATTATTGAGCGTTCGAACATTTCGTAACGGATCATGGGTTTGCAATTAGCGCGGATTTTTAATGTGCTGAGCATTAAGTATGCAGCTTTAAGAATCAGCTCTTCCAATAGCGAATCATGAATGCGGCTCGTGCGCGATTGCGCGCCCATGCGTAGCTCGCATTGCGCCCGCGCAACTCGCGCTCGCGGCCGTGCGAAAGTCCACATGAGCCTGTTGCCAGTTATTGATCCTAGCGCGATTAAACAACACCGCATTGCCGTCAACTACGAAAACAATTTTCGCCACGTCTCGGCCGCGCTCGCGTTCGCGTTCGGCGTAAAAGCGTTGGCGCGACGGCCGGACAAACGGTTCTCGTGTGTCGATTCACCTTGCACCCAGATAGAGATTGGTGCGCGACACGGGAGCAAAGGCGCACGTTGCATCGTCCGAGACTCGGCAGCGGCTTCGATGACACGTCCGCTGACACGTACTGTCAAAATGTAGATAGTCACCCCGCGGCAGCGCAGCGAGCACCCGTGCGAGAGATCCGCATCCGAGATAGAGAGAGAGTCGACCGCGCCGAGACGGAGCGAACATGTCATTGGATTTTCGCGAAACGACTCGAGCCGAGAGCGCGTCAGCCTAATATCCCTCATATCCCGGCCGTGATTTCGTAGAAAACGAGAAACAGACGGACGGACGAACGGACGTTATACGAGAGACGCACGAACGGCGCGTTTGCACATGTGATCCCCCCCGAGTGGTCGACCCCATTTAGCAGACGCGATGAAGAAGTTCACGATCAAGGGTGTACTCGACGGGTTCCGGTCGTCGGTCCCGCAACCCGTCAAGCCCGACCAGGAGATCGTCGAGAATCTGCGAACGGAGCACTTTCAAGTTAAGAAGGTCAGTACCGACACTAACAAGCGAAAAGCAGTATTTCTTTGTTTGCCCTAATTAAAGTGGACCTGTCGATATATCTGGCTGTTTCTTTGAGATAAATTTCCCGCAGAATTTTCTCCTCTCTAAGCGAGCAAAACATCCCTTTTCAACAATTTAACGATGTGCGTCAATTTATGTTAATTCGAAATATATCGCACGGATTGAAGTCGCTCTCTGCACCCTTTCTCTCGTCGTTTACAATTCTCGTTGGTGTCCGTCAACCAAGCGAGCGCGATGCAAGTTGCATAATTAAACATTTTATGGGGTCAGCCATAAAAGAAAATGTGTCACCGACGACGAGGAGATAGCGTTGGCTTTGATCAGATCCTATGCGCGTGCAAAACCTACATCCATGCTCCGCCATGTGTTATATAATGGCTAAAAAGAGAAGAGAGAAAAATTAATATTCGCATCACATAAAATTCAACTTTATATACACGGCAAATAGAAAACTTCAACGATTTACATTTTATTTGCGGTATTTTTACGTGCTGCATTTTAAAATCTGGACAACCGAGCGGAAAGCTTTTTTTTCCCCGGAGGCGCTTGGCTCTTGAGATTTCGAGTTTTTCACCTTTTAAAAATGTTTTCGGCGTAAAATCGCGTCGTCGAAATGCGAGCTACGTAAGCTTATGTAACTCTTCAACGCTTCAACTCTTTTGGAGCACCACTGAAACATACAATCGGAACATTTTTTTTTTTTTGCTTTTATTATCGTTCGCGTTCGATTCGTTCGGAAACGCACACATGCAAGTTCTCACGTTTACAAGCTTATCCCGATTGAAACCACGATGAAAATAAATAAACTTCTTTTCAATATGTACGTATATATACTTTTCAATTGTACGTTCTTTTGAATCTACTACGTATCCAATTTTGATGGCAGTATTTGACAATTTACGGAATGTAAAATCGTGTGTGTCGCTCCGATGTTGATGTTTACGAGACACACAAAGAGACTCACAAAGCCCCAAGTACAGCTTGCTAAGGATCTCAAGTTGTCTACTTTCGAGAACATGAGCCGAGGAACGTAAACATCTCCCCCCCCGGTTGTCGATATTCGCTCTATATCGCACGAGGTATCGCTTGCATCTCGCTTGTCAAGTTCGTGCGCCAAAACTGTGTCCCGGTCGTTTATTTGCACGAGCACCGGGTTGTTCGCAAACTGTCGGTGAAGTTGGATATTATCGGTTACGTATATCTTGGCTTCGGTATAACACGCGTTCGTGCGAATATCCGTTACGTATACGCGGTCGAGGAACAGATAACGATATGTGTAGATATTGCAACGCGCGCACGGAAGAAAACCCCGGACGGATACAGCATTGCCGATTAAGGGGCGTTTTACGTTGTAATAGCGCCGCGTATTTTATTATGCGGCTGACGACGACGGCGATCGATCTCGATGCATGTCTCCGCGACGTTTTCGAATTATTGAATTTATATGCGAAAAACCACAGACGGTTTTTCTTATTCTGAGATTTCGATCAATTATTTTGCAAAAGAGTTTTTTTCTTTTTTTTTATCGCGTTCGCGACGAGAAATCACGAAAAACGAAATCTCTCGACGCGAAAATTTATTCGAGCGAATAAGCGGAGCGTTTTTTCGACTTCGCTCGTCCTTCCGTCCGCTCTCTCGAGATAATCCACTTTCTCCAAAATTGCTCGTGCAGGAATCGATTTAGGAAAAAACGTTTAAATAACACTGTTTGTGATTGAGGTCACCCGTTTGTAATTTTCACGGCAAGTCACGAACTTGCGATTGGTTACGGCGCCGCACCACGGATCTTACGTCGCGAATGCGTTGCATTCGCCTCTGCTGAAATCATCGCTCAATGCGTAGGTAGGCGACACTAGTCATCGTTATAGTGTTATTGCGCCGAGAATAACATTGTAACTTGTATATATATATATCGGTTGTTTTATTTTGCGTGTATCGATTCAGCATCTTCTTTCTAACACTTTTATACTGGGTGTAAAAATATATAATGATGTAAAAAAATCGCAAGAGAGAGAGAGAGAGAGAGAGAGAGAGAGAGAGAGAGAGAGAGAGAGAAGGGGGGAGAAGGAGAAAGGAAAAAGTTTTAATCAGAGCAGCGCGTGTGGTTTAGTTTTATCGACAAATAAAATACGCAATCTCAATCACAATTCTCTGCTTATCTCTCTTTGTTCCCGAGTCAACGTTTATGCATTTATGAACGGTGATAATAAGTGCATTATAGAAGCGCGATCGTGCAATTCCACGAAAAAATCACGAGTTTTCTTGCAAAAAAAAAAAAAAAAAAAGTAATAATTGGTATACGCTATACGCACAACATAATTGCTGACGGTTTGTTCCACGGTATCGCGGTTTATCGCTTGACGTAACATTTGCATACACCGTTCGTAGTGCATCGCAAAAATTTCAGAGCAGCACACATTCGAAAGCATTCTCTAATGAATATTGATCGAGGCTTTTACGAAATGAAGCGTTTACTCTTATGTCGCGTAGTTTTAGTCCGATCGATGTATTAAATTATACGATCGGTGTTGCACAAAATTTGTTATCGATGGCCGTATCGATCGATTTCGCTCTTTTCCTTTTACATTTGTTGACACTTAAAATGTTCGAAAAATAATATTTGGAAAACGCTAAGAGAATTATTTGCACAAATGCGCAAGTGTTTTATTTCACTTTATATCTTTCGCGATATTCTTTTTATTATATATATATACACATATATATATATACACATCTCATACAATTTTATTCATACATAAAACCACACATCATAAAGGCAACAAGACCGGCGTATACTACGTATACGTGTTTGTGTTTACGATAATTGAGATTTATTTATCGTGAACGTTTTGGTGGTAAATTCTACAGGTAATAAAATACGGAGAACGAGGATCAGTTGTACTTCCAATAAAAGCGGTTTATGGAAGAAGCATGTGACAGATCTGTCAATACAGTGGAAGTTATGATGACCCGCTCTCTCGTGGATAGCTACGTATGATATTGCCAATAAGAAATTGCATTGTGCAATGTATCCAGAAACTGCCGGTACTCGAAACGCAATGATAAACAGCGATCGCGCTCGATATTACGAAAGGATCGGACAAAATATCTTAATCGCGTACATATTACATTCTTTTGCAACAAAAGAGATTGACCGAGAATTTATAGCGAGAGAATTTTGAACGCGAAAAATTCTGCTACATAGTAAAAGCAAAGTGAAAGCGTATAAATTTGCGAGATACGGAAGATTTTCTACTTGTTAAGGGATAACTCGCAACCATTTATCGTGCAGGTTTCGTCGTAATCTTTCGAAAAATACAAGAGACAAATTTGCCCTGCATGCAGGTCGGACGTGACAAAGAAATTATTGTACAGAGAAAAAGAGAGAGAGAGAGAGAGAGAGAGAGAGAGAGACAGAGAAAGATGGAGTGAGAGAGAAGATAGAGTGCGTGAACCTTTGCGAGAAATTAGAAATTACGTCGCGACATACACATTCATTTGAGCACGCGCGTATCTGAATCTGTCAGCAGAACGGAAATAATGGCCCCCGGCGCCTCTCTCTCTTCTCTGCAACTGCGCCTAGCTAGCGCAGCAGTATAATAGAATGCTGAAATGAATAAATTCGAGCCGCGATACAGCAAGATATACACGCGATATTTTTTAATTTACCCGGATATCGAGCTACGTAAAATAATTTTCCAGGGAATATCCGTTGTAATCAAACTTTTTTTTTTTTTTTTTTTTTGTTAATGGCTGTTTCACAGAAATGAACGCGCGAATGTGAAATTATTGCATAACGATCTGACTTCATTCTCGCGCACACATTTTTTATTGTCACACATTTCCCGTTTTACAATAAAATAATACGAGCAGTTATTTCTTCCTCGCCGTTTGAGATAACCGTCACGCGCAAGTTTTTTTTTTAGAATAACATTTTTAGTTTGTTCCTCTTTTTTTTTTTTTGCACCGTATATACATCATCCTGCATGCTGTATGTTATACAAAAAAACCCGGGCACATAGAAAAAAAAAAAAAAAAAAAAAACAGAATAAAAGCTGACGTGCGCGCGCCAAAGTTTTCACTAGCGGAAAATTGATAGCAACCTTGATATTGAGCCGACGCGCTGTGAGTTACTCGTGTACGTTTCGCCATATCTATCATTTTCGTTCACATCGCGTATATGCGCATTTTGTCGTAACTCCTTGGACCAGACCGCACATCAATTTTGTTCCCGCGTTCCATTCTTACCGCGCAACCCGAGAAGACTGCAGGAACAATCGAGATGTATTCAAGGCCAAACGAATTGCCACTCGAACGAATAACGATCCAGATTGTAAGACATTATCGGGACAAAGTGTGTGACAATATTTTAAACACTTGGACGTGCGTGAAGCTGATAACAAAATTCGATAATGTTTTAAATTAAGAATTCTTTTTAGATGTTCCACGATTCACAATTTTTTCGTTTTAACGTGCTATTTAAATATTCAACGATGCATTCGCGGAAAAATAAAGATTTGCTGAAATAACAAGAAATTAGTTAACATAGCTAACAAGAAAAATTTACCAAGCCTATTAAAAGATTTTTGTCTCGCCAGCAAAATGTTTTGTTGATGAAACAAAAAAATTCAGTGAACTCGACAAATTTTTCGGCTGGCCGTGTAAAAGCAAAAACTTTTTTTTTTCCGTGTTGTTTAAGCAATATATTAAAGCACTATGCGCACCGTTGAATGAGAAAGTTTCTTCGAAAGTTTTTGATATGATTATACAATTACATTAACACGGCGCGGGGCTAAGTGAAAGATAATGCTGATTTTATGCGCGCTCGATTAGATGCGGAAGGATTTGTAATGCGATTATGCGTTTTACCGTAATGTAATTTGCGCGATATTACTCCTCGTCGTTTTCCGAGAGAAAACGTTTTCTAAACGACGGAAATTGTCGTCACAAATGATGAAGTTATTTTCCATCAATCTGGTCTAGGTCCTTTTCTCTATCATTTATTTAGTTAGTGCAAACTTCGCTTGTGGTTCCGTTCTCAAGCGCGCAGATTCCCGAGCGAATGTTTATGCCGGGCATGCCATGTGTACTTTCCCATGATTGTTATATTTGTTACGACGTAGAGAAAGACAAAACAAACGCGAATTAATCGGAGAAACGTGTTTGAATTCGCAAAGCTGTGTTGCAAAGGGATTGTCATATTGCGGCTAGCGACTGGCTAAAAGCGGTTCGGGGAAGAGTTCTACTCGCGCGGATAAAGTTCACCTGCGCGCACCGCAGAGTAGGTTTTCCGGCCGCGCGTTGATCGGATTGCCGCACCTGCACGGGGGTAAAATCGTATATATGGCCGCCGCAAATTACAATGCAATCATCACGCTATAACACGATCGACCAAAACGTTTTCTGATATTCGCGATAATCCGAGCTCGTCACGCTGTGTAAGCAGATTAAGCCTCAAAGCCGCAAAATTGCATTTGCTACCTACATGAGAAAACTGCACATTCGCGATATACCGCAAATTACTTCTCCGAATAGAAAAACGCAAATGTATTAGACAACCGGACCAGACGACGGTGAATTTGTTAAATATATATATATAAGTATTGTTTTTTTTTCTTTTTTAATTAATGGGTCAATGGTTTTGTCACACAAAACAGAATCCGCTTTCCACATCGAATCTGGCACAATGCGTTACACTGACGTATGTGCGCGATGCATATAAAGCAAATTCAGGACAACACTTGGACGTTCCGTATAAAGGATCTCGCGTTTGTTTGCATACGTTATATATTCGAGTACACACACATACACACACACACACACACACACACACACACACGTACACATACGTACGTATTCCGGACATATTTTTTAAAAAATAGGACACATTGTACGGTACGTTGGTACTTACAATTTTTTTTCTTTTTCGACTTCGCCTTTGAGAGCTTTCGTAATCTTTTTACTGTGCCGCGAATGGTTTGTCGCTGAAATGCACTCTGCGGCACCGACAATAGATCGTCGGTAGACCGGCAAACAGGCTCATCGGAAATTGCGCGCCTCCGGAGACGCGAAATCGGAAAAAGGAGAAGGTTGCTTCTTCCTGGGCGCTCGTAACTTTCGTATCGTCGTATTTTAACCTACTTCCCCGGCGCCCGACAGTGGCGGCCGGTGAAATGGAACGAGGGCAGTTTTCACTAACAGCGAAAAGCGGTGGTGGAGTCCCGCTGCACCAAAATCGATCTCAAACCTTGTATCCGTCTCGCTTGTGCGTCTCCTTCTCTTTCGAACACCGGTCGCGCTCACGATTAACTCTGAAACAAGAATTTCCCAACTAGTTTGCATGATCGCTGATCACGTCACTCTATCGAGCGTGGCGCGATTCTTTTAGGTCGTTTTTTTTTTCTTTTGTTCTTTTTCAAGCGAGCTAAACTGACTCTAACTTTGACAAGGAATGTTGATGTAGCGCGGCGGATAATCATGAGAGCAAGTTTTGCGAAAAGCGCTTAGCGAGACGCATCTTCTATTTCATAAGGTTACTCCAACCCTCGCTTTGCACGAAGTAAAGTAAAGTAAGGCGAAGTGCTTTTAAGAGAAGTTTCCTGCGCGGAAGGCGCCTAAGCCTCAATGGTCTTACCAGACACAGCGCACATCGGGAAATAGCGCACAAATGTCGTACGTTGTGTTACTTTATGCGATGAAGTTTTATCCCCGGTCTGGAGGAAAAATACGATCATTTCTCGAAATATTTGTTTCGCAAATATAGATTTCGCTTTTGTGAGAAAAAAGAAAGAATTTATTTTTAGAAAAGTCGGGAGAAAACTCCTATCCTTCCTGAGCCTCCTGCGGTTTTCTCATCTTCGATATCAGCCCTTTTCTCTAATGATGACGAGCTCTTTATTGGGAGAGAGCGGGATAATGCCCGCGACTTTAAATACCTCCGACGGACAATACATATCACTAACATTTACGTATCGAGCAACAAAGGTATAGAATTAACAGTAGCCAGGTTGTCCACGAGGTAGCACAATAGGAGCCCGTGAAACAATACTCTGTCCTCCCCGCTTGATATATCTCCGCAACCCCTTGCAAGGATGAATAGTCTTCCAGACGACTAAAGCGGGAAAGATGGCATGAAACGGACGCCTTTTATGTTGCAGACATTCAGACACGGCTTCCCGCATCAGCCGACAGCGTTGGCATTCGACCCAGTTCAAAGGCTCCTAGCTATTGGCACTAAATCAGGATCCCTCAGGATGTATCCTTTGACGTTATCGTTAATCGTTTACGCTGGCATCCCGCATAATTAAGCGCCTGCTTTTCCCTCTTGAAAAAAGAAGAAGAAACACCGTTTATATTGTTGAAAAGAGAAATCACTGTATTTATGGACCATTATATTCCAGTCTTTCGAAAAAAAAGAAAAAAAATCTATTGCGAGAGAAATACACGCGTATCCGACAAATATTTTATATTGACGGAAGTAAAAACTTCATAAGCCGTGTGTCCGCTTTTAGAAGATTGCCTTAAAAAAAATTTCGGGAGTTTGAACGGGTTTGTACAATTTTAGCGGATTAATTACACGGTTCTGTCGGTTCGTGACTCTTCGACCGTGTGTTCTTACACGTCAGTGGCTTCATTGATCTATCACGGCCAAAGTGTGTGGCAATAGATGTTCATCGCAGTTCGATGGGCATACTAACTACCACGATCGACGCCGAACGCTATATGAACGGAAAAGTTCCGAACCGCATTGTCAATCACGATGTACACATAAAACTTTTACGATTTGCATTTTAACGTGTTTGTCGTCCGCTTGACGCGCCAAGTTAATGAGTCAACGTCAGCAAGTACTTTGTCCACGTGGCGAAAAAAAAAAATCTTTAACTTTGTATCGTTTGATGGTTTTCTTTGTGATAATTTGTATGCGCTTGTTTGACAAGCTACCGTGATAAATAGATAATTTCTGTGGTTCTGATTAAAATTTTCCTGAATTATAAATCACGCGCAAAAAACAGTTTGGGTAGACCAGGTGTTGACGCACACGTTAAACATGAGGGAGGCGCGGCAGTTATACAATTACAGTTCTTGGTCAACGAGGGAGCACTGGTGTCCGCCACGGCGGACGACACTCTGCATTTATGGAACTTCCGGCAGAAGATACCGCAGGTGGTGCAGAGTCTCAAATTTCAAAGAGACAGGTCGGTCATTAGAGTATGACTTTACTCGCTTCTCCTAATTTTACTCCTATGAACTTTGTCGTACGTGAAACAATGTAATTACGACGAACATACATAATGATGTCATGCACAGCAGATACTTCGCATTCCGCGCGCAAAAGCATTTTGCGGAAATTGCTCGGATTCTGCGACGATGATCTTAATTAATATCGCGTAATATGTTTCTAACAGAATCACCTGCATTCACCTACCGCTTCAGAGTAAATGGTTGTACGTCGGGACGGACCGAGGAAACATTCATGTACTGCACATTGAATCATTCGTTCTATCCGGATACGTAATTAATTGGAACAAGGCTATCGAAATGTAAGTACATAAGTTTTTGCTAAGGATATTCAAATAATAAATGAACAAGGGCAAAGTAGCAGCCTATGTTTTATCTCGACATATATGTACGAAACACACGGTATAACTTAACAAATGGGAGTCGATAAGCAAGGTCGATGAATCGATAAACCGCATATATAGAACATAATAAGCTTTCGATGTATCACGCGCTGATCGGCATAAGTTTTAATTCCACTAATTGCGCAAAATAAAATAAACACGTTCGCAATTAAACGTTCGGGGGTTGTGCATCGAAATAAGGTAAGTACCTGGGGTATAAAATGCCACTTAACTCAATTGATTTCAGCTACGTTCAGAGAACATTTCTATCGAACACAGAGAATGTAATATTGCGTAATGTAATGATATAAAGACTACAAAATATAAATTTGCCTTCTTTAGTTCTTAATTAGATACTGTTTTAATGAAATTTTCTGTAAGGCCGAAGGAGATTAGCAACGGAACGACTTGCTGCGCAAGAGAGGCGTACGATACCTGTATACATGCGAGAGACTTTTTTAAAAGTTGCGAAATATTGGCATTTATGGTCGTATTACGGAGAATATATCGCGGATGAGTTTTTGCACATCTTTTTTAATTTAAAGCCTTCTCCAATTCCGTCTCGTTAGGTATAGATTATTTGATATGAAATATGTGATATTCCCTTGATTTTATTTCCAATAAATACGTATTAACGACGAGCAACCATCGCAGTAACTTGGAGAACGCGTTAAATTAAAAAATAACAGTTTAGGTCAATTCATTTAATTGTCCTTACGAAACATTTACAATATATATATATAACAGGTTGCTACTCAAGAGAAGTTTTTAGACTAATACTTCAAAAAGATGAGTGAAGTGTAATGTCAGATCCTTTTTATTTGTTTATTTTATTTTATTTTTTTTAAAGTAATTTCCGGATGTGTCGTTCAAGATTGCGTTCTAAATGTGTGAATGTATGGGTCACAACTACATTTCGGTGACGGATAACATATATATATATATATACTATACATGGTGCCTATAAATTATCTCTGATTTATAAAATTTTATTAATATTCCACATTTTTTACTACCGAAAAGAACAAATGTGTAGTTCTTTAAGATTCTTTTTTGTGCCTGATTGTAGACCCATAGATGTGAATGTGGCAAGTGATGGTGTAAGGGTGTTCATTATAAGTGTACCACCATTGGGACTGAATGTTTCAAACGACACGATAGAAAATATTAAATCGATAAATCAATTAAATAATTAAATGCAAATAAATTGACCCAGTTATGAACTCTATTTAACGAAGTCCAGGAATATATTGGCTCTTATTTATATCACTATAGATCTCTTTTCCGATAATGCTTGCTACGAAATATTAATTAATTAATATCGTCATTAAAAGTAATTTATGTAGTCGTAAATAACGTTTGACACTCTCTCTCTTTTTCTCTCTCTCTCTCTTTCTCTCTCTATCTATCTTTCTCTCCTACTTTAACTTAATGAGAATTAGTTACATGGACAATATATATGTAATACATTCCCAATAGCGAGACACTTGAATTATGTAAGCAAATCCTTTAATCTTTCTTTTACTTTCCAAAAATTTATTGCTGTCGAGACACCGAGCCTCTTGTTAATACTTTTACGCTTTAATTTCTTGGCATTAACATACGCAACAAAATCTTGGTAACTGTTTAGGAATGCTTTATTGTTTATTGTTTTTCTAAATAGTTATCGACCATGTGTTTTCTTTATCGCATTTCATCAAAATATATAAGTGATAGCGTCAATTGTGACGTACAAGACTAATGATGATCATCGGCATTTTCAATGAACACAGCGTAATGATTACGCTAAAAAAAAAAAAAAAAACCGTGATCATGCAAATGAAAACTGCACACAAGTGTTTTTATATGTTTCACAATTAACACAAGAATAATTTTCATATACATGTGTGTGTATATACATATATATATATAAAAATATTATAAATATATATATTTTTCAGATCTAGAAAGACCCATCCTGGTGCTGTAGTACACTTGAGTGATAATCCTTTAGATTTGAGCAAGGTACGCGCGTTTTTGAGTACGTTTTTTTTGCATTATTATCCCATTCTTATCATAATTTCATGATTGACATTATTCAATTTTAATCGTGTGACGCATTAATAAAAGAAACAAAACCTGCGCGATATTATATATTGGCGTTCGTTCGATATTTCTTCCAAAACTTGGATTGGACTCGATCCAAGCAAATATATAAGTGCAAGTGTGTGCTTGCATGTTGTATGTGTGCATGCGTGCATGCTGTCACTGTTTGTGTGTATAAAAAACGAGTCAAAAACGCCTTTTTTCATCGAAAAAAAAAAAAGAAAAACAAGAAGTCCGCAATGTTTGATACTCAAATAGAAATGTATATATCATCTCGTTCCGATGTGTTTGATAAAAGAAAAATTGAGAAATTATATAAATTGGTTCTGCAAATTGATGAGAAAGTCACATATCGCGATCATGGTCACTCATCTTTTTACACATTTTGTACGAGTTCATTGTTAGTACAACGGAATTTCGGTTAGAGAACTTACGCAAACGTATATATCATGTATTTACCTTACTAAATTGTGAAGTCACGAGTATGTGACGAGTGGTTTGGAGTGTGTGTTCGGGATGCATCTGCATCCTTCTCTGTGTCCTTTGATATGTGTTGATATATATATACATATATATATTATATATATATATACATATATATTGTGTAAATTTGATATTACATATATGATGTCGCATAAGTATAAAATATATACTGTTTCGTTTCTTTCAGTGGTGTCTGTGTGTATGAAGAAATATATGTTAGTTTACACTTTAATTGCAATGAAGAAGTTGCGCATTTTTTAAAATTTTTTCTTTAGCCACATAGAAAAGTTGAAACAAGTCAGTTTAATTGCAATGGAGTTACATGTTACTTTTTATTACATTTTTTCTTTTTATAGCCATAGAAAAGAGTACTGTTGAACAACTGTAATGTAAGATCGCGCAAGGGTTTTTGTATACACAAAGACCTTTATTTTATTTTTTTTTATAATTCTTCAAAAACACGGGTTTTCTAACACAACTGAAGAACTCGAGTATAGTGCAAATTGTGCGTTACATTTAATTATAATTTTATTTGATCGATGACTTAAACTTTTCGCTCACTTTATTCGTACTTCCTCAGCGGGTCATTTGATCAGTATCATGCAGAGCAATCATCGTACTTTTCTGAGTTTTACATGTGCCCTTCGCACAAATCTCGTAGAAAGCATTGTTCTCACTATATTTTTATACTTGATCTCTCTGTACGTTTATGTTAAATGAGTTATCGTGATGAATAGAATCGAGTTTATCAAGAATATACATTTCGTCATCTATAAATATATAAAAATTATATACATATATACCCACGATTTCTCGTTTCAAGGAAATATGTGTGTCTCAAATACAAAATAGGTAAAGGTGCACCTCATAGACACGGATGATTTGCTTTCAGTTGCTTATAGGATATACCTCAGGACAGATCGTTTTGTGGGACTTGAAAACCAAGAGTGCTGACTACAGATGTCAGACCGATGAACAATTGAAATCGATAACATGGCACCATGAAGGTAAACAATTCATGAGCAGCCACGCGGACGGCTCTCTTTCGACTTGGACAGTTCGGCAACCAAAGCCAACAAATGTAACATATCCACATGGTGAGACTCGATTGCGATAGTACAAACCTCGTATTAGTACAACTCTCGATTACATCGACCAAAACTTCTTAATATCTCTTTTTAACAGCGAAATCCACTAAAGACGGAGAACCCGAACCTTGCAAACCCATTCAGAAAGTAGAGTGGAAATTATCGAGAACAGGGTAAAGAGAGATAGATACGTCTTTTGTTTTATATCGTAGAATAGTTTAGTTGCTAGAACATAAGCAATTGTTAATCTCTTTTTCCCGAGTAGTTTACAAACTACTAAAGATAAATTTTTATCAGGGAAGCATATGTGATATTTTCCGGTGGATTGGCATATGACACCACTGGGAGAACACCCAGTATTACAGTGATACATGGAAAAACTACTACGGTGCTTGAAATGGAGCATAATGTTATAGACTTTGTAACGCTGTGTGATAGTCCATGGGCTAGTGGTACAGTAGAACATATTTTGCAATAATTCTTAGACAAAATGTTACTTTTCTTTTGCAATATGATATATCTCAATCAACGGCATTACATTACTATTAGCACCGTTGTAACTTTTCAGATTTCCAAGATCCTTACGCTGTTGTTGTTCTACTACAAAACGATCTGGTTGTGATAGATTTGTTAACTCCCGGATTTCCGTGTTTCGAGAATCCGTATCCTATGGATATACACGAATCGCCTGTGACGTGTTGTGCATATTTCGCGGATTGTCCCTCGGATTTAGTACCTGCGTTTTATTCCGTCGGATCCAAGTCGCAGAAGAAGACCGGTTTTAGCGAGAAGGAATGGCCTATTTCCGGTGGAGAATGGAGTTCTAGTTCTAGCAGTTATAACGAGATTATCCTCACCGGGTAATATTATCACGGATATGACTTTATGTTTGCCTTTTTGATTGCGATAACACGATGTACATATACGTGTATACGTATGTATATGGCGTATACATATATAGCGCTGTTAAAACGTGCCGTGTAGAGCAATATATTACTGTACATGTCATCGTACATGTTGTCGCATGTTAGCGCCTATGATCGATAAGTTCCTTAAATTTCTATAGTTACATACATGTTTGTTCGCAGACATGCCGACGGCAGTATAAAGTTTTGGGACGCTTCCGCAGGAACATTACAAGTTCTTTACAAACTAAAGACGGCGAAACTTTTCGAAAAGACTAGAACGCGTAGTATAGATTCTGAGGAAGACCCGTTAGCAATTCAACATATCTTCCTTTGTCCCGAAAGTCGGAAATTAGCTATCGCGGGAAGCGGCAAGCACGTCGTCTTGTTTAAATTTAAGAAAGTTGAGAGTATGTCCGAAGTAGTGGTAAGTTATTTTACATTCCCTTAATGTGGCACTATACTAACGCACCACTCATTCCGTTCTAATCTAGCAGAGAGGAACTTGCTTACTTACGACAGAATGACGAAAATAAATTATGCATATGACACGCTTTTCTAATGTGTACATAGTAAACAGTTTTATGGAGACTTTTTTTTTTTTTAATGAAACGTTCCTTTCACGACTTTTCTGCGCGCTCTTGCAGGAAAAAAGGATAGAAACACTCTTTTTTTCTGTGTTGCAGACTTTAGAGATATGCTTATCAGTAGATCCTGGAAGAGACGCTGATACCGGCTCACCGGATCGAGAATCTCCGGCGCCTGGGAACACCACAGGAAATGTGGAAACGAAGATTACGGATTTCAATCATCCAATGAAAGTCAAGACGGGTCTGCAGAAAAGGGCTCCCGGTTTTCAAGCAACGTTAATTTGTTTGACAACTGCACCTAGTGGAGAACAGCCCGAGAGTATAACATCTCTTAGCTTAAATTCGTCATATGGCCTGTGAGTGTAAAATGTAACTTGCAAAGAGTCAAGTATTTTCAACTGAATCGCGATAATCTCGTCAAAAAAAGTTTGAAAATATTTATACAGCACATTGGCTCACATCAGTCGAATAAATCTTCGCTAATTTGATATCATATGAGCTGAAATTTGTTGTTAAATTTGTTAAAATATATCAGAAACGCAAAAATATTTTAACGTTTGTTCGCAGATTGGCCTACGGGAACGAGTCGGGACTAGTGATAGTGGACATCGTACAGAAGATTTCACTAGTCGTGCTGAACACCAGCGATCTCGGAGGTGGGTCTGATCCTTATCAACGCGTCTTACGAAGTCCCAAACGACAGGACGACCTAAGACGGGAAAATGAAGACAAGGCAAGAAGTCCAAGCACAGACCAGGTACATATAGAAATGCACTTCCTTTTACATTAGAACTGTGTACACATTAAGTTTACCCTTGATTACGTCTAGAAAGACCTCTTATAGAAGTTTTATACATATTCGGCGTCTTGCATTCTGCTTTCTTTGAGTGCCAACATTATTATTCACTGCATGATTATAAGATGTCTAATTTAATTCCTATGTGCGGAATAATTTCCGCTTATATATAAAAAATATCTTAGTTTTTCAAGTTTTTTCATGACTTGATGGAATAATATTCTACCTTTACTTCTGTAAATATGAATTATCGATTCGTTTTGTAACACAAATGATTGTTATATGTGACACGCGCGCGCACGTACACTTTAATATACGTGCGTGTGCGTAACAGCTACTACTTAATTGCACAATATGATGCATTGCACAATATTTTTAACGTTGTAATCAAAAAGGTATTAAAAGATTTAAAGATATCTCTGTAATTTCCTGCTTGAAGAATCTTCCTGCAATTTGATTCGAGATACTTCTTGTTATTTTACGTGTTATAAATCCTCGAAATATTACACATATAATCTATCATTGTTGAAAACACCTTATATTATAAAGCAAAGCAAATGTTGGCAACAAAAAGATGAACTACACTTTCTCTAGAAACCAGCGACATATTTCTAATCAGAAAGGTAATGATTTGATCTTTTAACACAGACGATATTTCAGGCGTAATTAAAAAATACGTGATTTTTTTAATCGTGATAAAAATAAAAAAAAATCATCTCATAATATGTATAAGATATAAATAATTTAGAAAGATGTTATTAGATCAACTATTTTTTAGCATGTACAAATTAATTTTTCTATTTTAGCTTATTATTTACTCATTTTGTTTTTATTACTGTTTCCTATATATAACTAACAAACGTTTCTCTTAGGTATTTTAGATGTCGCTTGTTACACTATTCACATAGTTAACATTCAAAATTTGGATAGCAAGAAGGTATTATTTGCAACGAGATACATTTCTCTTTAAAATGCAAATTATATAAAAAATTAAATATTTATATCGTGTTTACATACGTGTAGGAGATGTTTTAGATGCATTATTATATATATTTTTTATATAATGTAGTGAACCAAAGTTTATGTAAATTTTTTTAAATATACATATATAATATATTCTCAGATATAAAATTAATGTAATGATAAAAATATCTAAAGAGATATTGTGTGACAACTTAATGCTTGACAAATTTTTTCAGATGATATTAAGATATATTATTTCTCTCTCTCTCTCTCTCTATCTCTCTCTATCTCTCTTTCTTTCTCTATACATATTCTCTGAGAGAATTCGAGCAGTTGTGTCTTAAGGGAAATAATGGGCTTTATATCGGCAACTCAACTGGTCAAACTTGTCATTTTCCATGTGTCGAGAGATTCCTTTATAAATTATATCCGCGATATAAAATTTTTTTTTATTTTTTAAATATTGTATTACACATACACACAAACCCTCTAGACTTTACAATATAATATTAACAATATGTAATAATTTACTAACAGGTCTAATGTAAGATGTTAAGTAATTAAGGTATTATAAAAGAGCATTTCATATTCTTTTAAAACAGATATTTTGTTTTTAATGTTATTTCATTTAAAAAAAAAAAAGAAACCAAGCTGTTATAGATGCTAATTATGTTTTTTTATAAAAGAACAATGATCTTTTTCGTTGTACTTACATATATATTTTACATTTAATGTTTAGCTAACTTTGTGTCTACCATTGAAGCAAGTAAGATCAAACATATTTCTGTTGAAGAAATATCATAGTTTTTTTGTGTTGTGCAGTGTTGCTCTGTTAAAATTATAGACTTATTTATACATATATTATTTGAGTAGGTAGCAATCAATAGTATACACAACATTCGGTTTCAATGTTCTTAAATTTGTAATTAGATGATAAAACATTGTAGTAAACTGAGTGCAAATAAACAAATGGAGAAGTAGAAAACAGCATAGAAAACAGCATTGGAAATATTAGTTACTTAATACGTGATGACAAACAACAACGATTCTCACATAAACGTTTGATGGGATCTGTGCATGTGCATAGATTTTTATGAAAATCCTATAAAGCAAGATTCGCAACAATTTAAAAAAAAAAATATGATGTATTATTCGCAATATTTTGAAATTATACTTTATAATTAACTTGCTTCGAAAACCGTATGTTATTTGAACAAACATAAGTGTAATATATGTATATTAGTAATATATAAACTTTTGCAATATTATTTGTAATTTTGTTTTTTTTATCACAATTTTTACACACATACGATTAGAGAGAAATTGTTATTAAGATACGCCTTATTATGCATGAGAGATAACTATAAATATGCAACATGAACTTCTTACATCAAACATTTGCAGTGGCCAGCTAACTTCGTGTATTTATGTATTGTACTATATACGGCAAAAAATTATCAGGTATGTTGATAAAAGCAACTATAAAAATTTACGAACATCAAAAAGTATTATCTCTGCCGAATATTGAATTATATTTGAGAATATTTAAGGTAATATTTAAAAGAAAAGTTAAAGATGATATGACTAAATGACGTTTTTATATAAACAAAGTAGAATAATTTGCACACATGTGTGATTATTTTTTATGTAGTTGAAACTAATTAATGTGTTTCCCGTATTATCTTTACATTTTTAGTGAGAAAATTAAAATTATGTTTGTCATATTTTTTTTTATTTCAATACATGATATTTGATTGTTGAACGTAGTGCTTAGACACTTTTATCATTGTAGATAACACAGTAGCATATTTTTACAAAAACATATGTTTTTGTGGAATATCTATATATAACGGAACATATATATATAATAATTGTAAATCACATGTTTCAGCTACGTATGTACATCACATCAGTAAATGTCAGCATTATTCAGTTATTGATGAGAATTATAGCAGGTGATTAAAGATATATCCGTACACAAATATTAGAAGAATGTAGAGTAAATTACTGCTAATGAACATTGAAGATTCGGTATATTTCTGTTAAATCAAATTTAAGCTTTGTGTGAATTTGACCTCAAATTAACTTACCGTAAAGTGCTTTATGGCGCAAAAAACATTATCATTGAACTGCTATCTCAGTTGCAAAAGTCAATTTGTTCAACTGTGCAAATTGTGGTGTTTAATTTTTTCTATTATCAGATAGTCATGTAAAATTTTTGTGTATTTTTGTATTTGTATCGGCACCTGCTACCTCTTACTGATGTAATGCATAAATTACATCCGTTCGTTTAGAGATCATCTCTAACTTTTCCTCTGCTTGTACGAGGTAAACAAACAGAAAATTATTATCGAGCACAAGTGGTACAACTGTTCGCAGATTTTATGAAACCACGTTTGTTATGAAGCTATTGTATGAAGCCAATATCCACTTACACCTTCCAGCAATACTTATATATACATATATATATATTTATTCGCATGCTTAGTAAATTATATAAGTGTTAGTACATATAATATCATCAATGTAATGCTGTTGACTCTCTTTTTGCTTATTTTACACGACACGATGTAGGTAAGATTTATAACTTGACCTTTTGCACAAATATAAGAAATGTGTATATACGTCATCTCAAAGATATACGTACAAGCTAGTTTCACATCATATTCTTCATCGTAAATTATCTTTCATCGAGATTTATACTATTGTCGAGAGTCAATATTTGCTATTTCACGCTGCTTTTTTATCGAAGAAACTGTATAAACATCCTTTTACAGCACAAGAATTATAACACACAAATACATAGAGATGCCAATGACGTACTTCTTTCCATTTAATCGTATTTCTTCTCGTTTCAACAAATTGTATTAGATGTAATGCAGAATTTTTTTAATTCGCATATCCCAAATAACATACGTAACTACTTGTAATTCTTTCAGTTAGTTTTTTTTTTTTTTTTTTTTTTTAATACTTGTCTCTCATAATTTATAAATATCCCGATAAAATACGTGCGATTAATTAGCGGAATGTAGTCAATTTTATGAGATAGTTTGTACTCACACACTTTGGGAAAGTTGAAATTATAATATTGCGAACAATCTTTTCACAAAAGGGCGAAATATATAATCTTTGTTTCTAGATCATACATTACATTCCTTTGACCAACAGTAAGTAGAAGGCCTACGTTTCTACGAGCATCTTAGGCATCTTTAGCGGATAGGCAGACAGTTATTTATATTCATAAAAAATCATATATAATAATGATAATAATAATAATGATAATGATAATAATAATAATGATAATGATAATGATAATAATAATGATAATAATAATAATAATGATAATGTCCTGTCTGCACTCTTCAATACAAGATTTTTCACGAGCCTGGGAAGTGACAAGTGACCACGTGTTTTTGCGACAGCTTTCGGTTTGAACTTGATACTTACTGCTTCTTTTCAAGGCATGTTTCTCACGCGTTTACAGACACACGGCAGACCATGTAACAGCACGATATAATAGGGGATTAGTCTACACCACTGTTAGTGGACACTTACGGAACACGAGCGCGAGAATGATGTGTAAAAAGCAATTGTTTTTTAGAGTACACCTATATTCCTAGGCTCAAATCTATATCTCATCATCTCTCTCTCTTTTTGCCTGCGAAAAAATTAATTTGATTGTGCAAAGCCCAACCGTCTTAAATTCATCAGAGTCAGCGGGAATCCGCGTTGGAATCCGAGCTGGTAGATTCGACTCAACAACAAGCGCAGCATCAACCAACGTGTTCCCGCAATGAAAATCAGACAGCGGGAAATGCTGGCGAAAAACCGAGCGCCGAGGAATCCACGAGCGAACCGAATAAAGCGGGGAGTCTGCCTAACGGCGAGGAGTGTCAGAAAAGTCAAGGTTGGAAAGGATTTAGTCTCAAGAGACAACTGAGCAAGGTTGATCTGAAGATCAAAAATACTTTTACACCGTCCTTGGTGTCGTCTCAAAATGGGGTACTTGTATGCTTTTTATACGTGCTTTCTTTATTTTTTTACATCGTTAACACAAGAATCAATAACTTCAAGAGTTTTCGTATTTTTATTTTCGCGTATTTTTATTTATAGACCGTCACAATACGATTCAGCTTTTTTGCAGCGCAAAGTATTTTTGTCATTTAAAGCGTGTGCGACTTTCTCATAACATGATACATAAAGACAATGCTTCTTGCCCTCTTCGACTAACGACTTCGCATACAAACTAACTTCAAGTTCATAAAAGAGATCGCTTGACTCTCAAAAAGAAAAAAACACTTCATTCTCTCCGAGTTTGCTTTGAGAGTGCTTATCATCGAGTCGCTTTCCGTAATTGACAGCGGATTTGCTTTCTTTTCTCGTGAATCTAATTCTACAACACGTGTCTTTTGTGTTTCCGAAAGAGCTCGTCGTCGGGGCTCATGCAAGTACCCCAATGCCAGCAGGTAGGCGGCGATACAAGCAGTCAAAAGTCTTCCACGTTTTACTGCAATATCAGCGAAACGGCGAGCACAAGTCGTTCGTTGTCGCCGGTCGAAAGTGTCGACTCTGAATCCTCGTTATCGCCGGAGAATCAATCGCCGGGGCACGAGAGCTCTCAGGCGCCTGTCGATGACAGGAAGCGAGAGATTCAAGAGGCTCGAAGCCCGACGACGGAAAACGAGAGCGAAAAGCCGACGGCAATAAGTGACGGCGGCAATGTCGGCGTGAAAACCGAGGCAGTAAGACCGATGAACCTGTCTCTGCCCGAGCACGAAGCGAAACCGCCGCGGATGAAACGTATCGCCAAGATGAAGCAATCAAAGAGAGAAGGCCGCTTGCTCTCGGTGCCGAATTTGAAATTTTCCAAGAACGAGTCGACCGTATGCGATCTAAGATGCGAAGAAAGCGCAACCACCGAATCTTCGTTCACCGGCAATCTTATGAGAAGATTCAGTAAGTGTTTAACATTTAACGTAGAGGAGCGTTATGTGTCGTCCGTGTGTCCTTAGAGATATCTATATACATATACTTCGTTTAGATTTTTTCACGTTAAATGTGAATGTGTGCGTGTAATTAATCTTAATTAAAATAACGATCGAAAACGATCGGCGATTAACAATATTAAAATTGCATTTGTATCTGTGACTGAGAACATGTGGTGGGTGTAGACTAACCATAGAGAGAGCTCGGCTGGTCCTGGACGTGCTTCTGCCGCTTTTTTTTTTAACACACAGCCTAGGATGCTCTTAGATGCGTTCGAGGTTATTTCCAGAGGAAACGTTAACACAGCTCATAATAATACATCTCTGCCAAGATTGGGTAAAAATTCGTTCGGACAGACGTCGACAAGCGATCTTCTAAAATAAAATCATTCGTCGGGACAGACGCACACGTTCATTTCTGTGACTTTAAATTTAACGCGACTCGATAATTGGAGCAGAACAAGACCAAATATATCACCTCTCTCTGTTTTAGCCGAGAAGTGATTATTATTGACTTGACACGGGGGACAAATTGTGACATGATTTTCATTACCCAATATTGGCTCTCATTATAACATCATATCATCAAAGGTTTATGTGAAACAGTCAATATCTAGGTAACAATAATGAGCCTCTGATAAACATGTGCTGAACGAAAATTATCACGACTAAACTACTATGTAACGCATAATGAACACAGATGAAACCGACAGTTCAATCGTATATATATATATATATAAACGATTATATATATAAGTTTATTAAATATTGACATCTTTTGAAAAAAAAAAAAATCTCTTTTGACACTCTTTACAGATCACATAAATCTAACAATATATTCTCTCACACATACGCATATAAAATTGAGAAAAAAATGGCTCGCAAATTATTTAGTTCTACGTAATTAGTACTGCATGTTCGATAAAATGCATATTGATAACATAGCAATGCTATATCATAATACAATCAAAATATTTTTTGACACATACGACGCGCGTCACCGAAAAATTTTAACGATATAGAAATTTTATTTCGTGAGTATTTTAGAAAGCATGTGTTCATACGCGTATTTTTGTTGTGAAAATGACATAGGCAATTATACATGAAAAGTTCACTTATTTATATAATTATTTAAATTTAACCATAAGTTTTTTGGATAGTTTTTTATATTTTTGACGTGTTAGATATCGCGATAGGGATAATTGTTTCCGATCGTTTTTCTTTGAGATCACGTTTTTGCAAAAAAAAAAAAAAAAAAAAACACTCGATAAAGGCACAATAGACGTTATCGCAGAATAATTATCATATCATAGTTGACGGAAATTTATAGATTTTTGCAGCATAAACATTTGTGGTTATGTGGAATAAGAAACTGCTGTGAAATTTGGTCAGGCAAGATGTAGAGTCTAATATAATAGTCAGTCAATAAGGCTCATCGATAATTAGACACTTAGGTTCGTCTGAAAGTGTGTCGACGTTTCTTCAATTATGAAGAAAAGGCCTTGATAATTTATAGAAGAGTGCAGACAACATGCCCTACTAGAGGACAATACAACGCGATACATGCTGAAACTGATAATTCTTTAAAATGCATTCCTGATCTTGATCAGAGGGTGCGTTTACATTATGTTCCGTATATGCACACGAGCTACAATTTTTCAAATTTCCGGTTTAACATTAAACGTCAAAAGTCTCAGCGAGTCGCGCACAAGTTCTGCTCTTTTATATAAATATTTTTTAAGTAAAAATCTGTAAGACGCAGATATCTAGGTTGCGGATCAAAGTTAGTTTGCGATTCCGATGACGCGCAAATAAAAAAGCATTGGGGACGCAAGCATCTCTGCGCTATTACAGTTATTCGATTTACGATATCATGCAAGCGGAGATTTCTCCGCGAGTGATACGCTCAGACGAATACATTTTAAAGGATGTCAAAGCTTCACCAAAACCGCGCATTGACTGCTTTATCTTAAAGCGTTATCTTGCCGAACCATTCATAGTATGCAACTCATTTGCTCCGATGGTCGATAGGTCACTAGGTCGAGAGAAACAGCTGTACACTTAAGATTTTCTAGTATTCCCACTCCCCCCCCTCCGCCCTTCTAGGTTTTATCAGTATACCCGGAATGCGTAGTAGATACTTTGAAAGTGCATTGTTCCCGTTTTTGGTCTTGATATCCGATTTTGTGTCAACTTCACTCCAAGTTTATATTGCGTGTATACTCCTTGTAAACATTGCTCTTGTGCTCGCAAAACTTTGGGAGATACCACAACCCCCCTTTCCCGCGGGAATACTCAACAAGCAAGGAAATGTAACACGATCCCGTTATCGTTACCGGCGACAAGTCCTTCATCCAACACTACTTTACATTGCGTTTTACACCTGAAATCTGAAGAGAGACTCTACTTTAACACTTTTTCAGGTTCAAATCAATTTTGCGGTCTTCCCTGACAGCAAGCTCGATTCAGGTAAAAACAAGGTCTTTCATATTTTCGCAGTTGTCTAATCACCGAGAGAAAAGTACACTCCTTTGTTACGAAGCTCTCAATGTCGTGAAATGTCTGAATTACACGTTTACAAATTGAGACAGGCAGTGCTTGTTTCTCGTCTTACAGCGATCCGGAAAATTTTCACGAAATTTCTATTCTGTAGACTGTTAAACATATTCTGTGTGTAACATCGATTACACACTTCCATCTGCCTGCAAGTCTACATGAAAAATTTGTCATAGTATTTTTTTCTCTCTCTTGATTTTTGCAACAACATATATATATATATATGTATTATTCCAGACACCTTTCTCTCGGTACAACATTGCTTTCAAAGCTTTTGGAAATTTTTTCGATGGTTTGCACGCAAATAGCAATAGTAATAATAATAACAACACTGATGATCGTGGCATCATCAATGATAACGAGTTCATTTTTCTCTCTGTTTCTTTTCTGTTTTTTTTTTTTTCTTTCTTTATCGAACAGATGGATTAAGACGCGAAACTTTAATAACGCGTGCTATTTAGAGACGCTCATGACGCTGTGCGAGCCCAACACTATGAAATTTCTATCTCGACATTGACTGACTGCTATAGAGGACTCTGCATAATATGATATTCCACATAGCGAGCAACCAGAGTACGAGATGCGCACACACGAGCAGGCGTCTTACAATTATCTCATTCTCTCACGTTTCTCTCCTTAGATCTTCTGCAAATACATCTCCAGTGCAGACAACAACAATGACTATACATATATATATATATATATTGTTTCACACACAAATGTAATCGACAGATCACTTTTCGAATAGTCGAAATGAAGCCCAATTGAGGAATCTGCTTTCGGTCTATCTTCAATCTCTCTTCGCTTTCGAAAGACAGAAAGAGAGAGAGAGAAAGAGAGAGAGGGAGAGAGACACTTGACATGAATGTCTATTTAAAAAAAAAAGCACACTTTCATCGTTTCTGACAAATTGTCATTTCCCAGACGTCGCTAGTTGAGATTAAGATTCGTCTTTTATTGTACGAGAACTTTTTTTTTTTTCAATAAAAAGCGTCTATAGTGAGAGACGAGATTTCTTTATTGAAATGCTCTCACGTACGTCACATTTCATTTGTGAATATCAGAAGTGAGAGAACTGAGGGATAAAGCACAATTGCGCGTTATTAACTATCCGTTTTCTTGCACTATATTTCAGTTTTATTATTATATTTGATGGAGTTCTGACCTTTTTTTAATTTTTTTGATTTTAGGATGGAAATCTCTGTACGTATGTAAAAGAAAAAGTTAGGGAATTTATGAACAAGACAATTTTAGATTCATTCATGTCCTTAGAAAAGAGAAATATTATGAGAATATAAAGTTCTTTTTACTCATATATAAATACATATTGATCAAGCTGGAATAGCTTAACGCACGCTATTTACAAAAAAAAAAAAAGAGAAAAATACACAAACAAATAAAATACACGTACCGCATAAGATAAACGTAAACACAGCAATTGCCGATGTAATAGAATTTGGCAACGAAAATTGCAACAAACATGGAAATTCATTTTCCATGTGCTTTTATTGTTTTGCTTTGATCAGCAATTTGATAAAAGTCCGCAATCGTCGCAATATACACACATACACACACTTGTTTGTGAAAATCGAGTTCGCACACGCAAAATCTGCTTTATATGATCAAAAAAAAAAAAAAAAAAAAAAAAAAAAAAATTAAAAAAAAACAAACCAACCGAGTATGCTTCCTCCACGTTTGACTTGTCACTGATTTGTAGATGAACGGGATGTGCGTATTGCCGGTGACAGGAAGAAGTACAGTGGGTGTTGGTGGTGAGAAAGGTGACAATGGTGATAATAGTGATGGTTGTAGCACCGTCGGCGGCGGCGGCGGCGGCGGTAGCAACGGAGCCAACAATAATGACGGTGGTGCTGGCTCTAGCGCGGGTGGTGTTAGCATAACTCGCTCGGGTACTCGTATCGCCGCCGCCGGCGCGATTAGCGGTACCGACGAGGAAATTAACACGACGCCACGCAAGGGTGTCACGTTAGATCAACGTCACTCACGCGCCCAGGGCATAAGGAAGCTCCAGAAGTGTCTAAGCACTACTACGAGCCACTTCGAAGTGGATTCCGCCTCGGGCGGCGGCCCCGCCGCCGCTTTTCCGCTGTTCTACGCTCAGCGTAGCACGGAGATGAGAAACTACTCCTCAGCTGCTCCCCAAGCGTCTTTGAACTACCAGAATATACTCACCAACACCAGACAGTATAGCAGCTTCGGTAGTATTATCGACAAGCCAAGCGTAACTTACAAATTATTTATGTATGGACTATATCTATATACTCTATACGTAGACCACCAGATTATTTTTCTGTCAAACACCGAATGGGAAAGCTACTACTCTTCTCTCTGTGATCGCTTGTGTGTGATCTTTTAGTTTTGATTTCGTTACCAATAGAACGAATATTCTCTTCTCAGAAGGAATTTTCGAAAGCTCGAAAGAGTGTGTACGTGTGTGTGTGTCGGATCTCTCGCGCAGCGTTGCTACACCGTGTTGAATTTATAAAATTGTTTGTGTTAAATAAACTTTCTTTAATTTTTATGAAAGAGAATACGCATGGTTACGTATATATTCATTATTTATTTATTTATTTTTATCTCGTATTAACTATCTATTTACTACAAGCAAATATTTATTTTCTTCTCTCGAGGTTTTAAGATTTCGTTATTGTTTTTTTTTTTTTTTTTTTTTTATAAATATTGAGAGTAAGATCTACAATATTGTTATAAGCAACGTTGCGTTCTTGAGATCCTCCCAGCACGACGTGCGTTTTTCTATTGTCTAGAATCGATAGAAACACTGTCTGGTCTCTTTACTGATCTGTGAGTGTGACTTCGGTAGTTCTCGCTACGATGCATCTCTTTCTTTCTTGACTTGTTATATGCTCTTTTAGTGAAAACTTTTCTAAATAAATAAATAAAAAAATAAATAAAAAAAAAAAAAACACGAAACGGCACATATCTTCTGAATCTTGCGTGATCTCTAGAGTTATCACACTGCACTCTCGAAAAGAGATACTCTTTCTCGCTCTTTTCGTTTCCGCCTTTGTGGCAAACTTTTTTGGTTTCTGCTTTTCTTTTTATAGATGTGATCTCTATAACGTTGCATTTCAAATAATTATTTCCGAGCTCGATGCACAATTTAAGATCGCACCTTGCGTGAGTAAAATGACAATGAGGTAGACTATGCAAGATGAATGTGCAAAAACGTACATATCAGAGAAATCGGTTAGTCGTCTTGAAACACAACACGTGTTCTTTACCACAAAAAACGCATCGTTCTGTCTGCATTTGTGAAACGTACGATCTTTTCGTGTATCTGCGCTTAATCATTTATTCGTTCTTTTAATCGTGTTATCACGCGAAAATTATGATTACGTAATATTTTTAAAAAGCGACTTTGTGAAACTGTATGCGTGTCGATATTTGGTTTATGGTTTATTTTTGATTTGTGTGTGAATTAATTAATTCGCGCGCATTATCTTTACGCAGCGAGAGAAATTTATCTTTCTGATGAAAAAAAAACCAAGTAAGAAAAAAAAACTACTCTACTGAATTACGTTCAACAATTATATGGATTATTTGTTACATGTATGCTTGATTATTATACGTTATGTTTTGTTACTTTGATAAATTTTGAATTCAAATTTTATATACGTGTGTAAATTATCTTAGATATCTTATCTTGCACTAGTGTTACGCGAAATGTGACTGTGATCCGATCTTTATTAGAGAGAATCTTGGATCGACTCCTTCTTTAATCGTCGGCGACTACTTTTCGACTTTACAATCCGGATCTCGGCCGGATAAACTTTAAGCGCGTGCATGCAAGAGTAAATCTTCTTCATGCAACTCTCGTCTGTCCAGCTTACTACTCTTGTGAAAGTAATCCGAGTTTGTAAAACAATATTTCTCTCTAGATCTGTGCTAATTCGATATGATTACTATCTGCGTGCGTGCGCGTCTTTTTGTGTGTGTGTACGTGCATCTGTGTAAATTTTTTATGACTGACTATACAAGTCCTGAGATATGAAGTCTAAATAAACTGTATGAGAAGGATAATTAATATGTGAACTGCAGTCGAGAGACTTTGATTAATCGTGATAGTTGTTGTTGTTGCTGTCGCTGTTATTATTATTATTGTTATTATTATTGTTATTATTATTATTATTATATTATTATTATTATTATTGTCATCGTCTCATCATCGTTGCCATAATCAGCATTCTCATCGTCACGATCATTATTTACTACTGTCCTCTTGAAGCTGCGCTCTGTCTCTGATAAGTGTTCTCTGACTTCGCTCTAGTTTACACACTTTGCGAATATGTACACTGTTATACGCAAAAAAAAAAAAAAAAAGACGATGTAAACGTGTCCGAAATGATTTTCGATAGTCATTATGCATGCTTCTTAGTAGCTCGGAAAAATAAACGGATTATCTTATATTCTATAAATAATCGATGATTTTCTTTTGGGATCGCTGGTCGGGTAGACAAATTCGACGGCTCCTTCCAACGATCAAGGAGCTCGAGTATGTCGTCCCTCGAGAACATCACCACAGAAACCATAAGCTGCCTTACATTTGCGGATACTTATACGAAAAAAAACGGTAAAGATTACATTTTTTAATTCTCATTTTTGGTTTTTTTTTTTTCACACATTTTGTGCATAATGCGAAAAGTACGACGCTATTGTTTTATTTCTTTAAGATACAAATGGCATGCCAACTTTGTGGATTGGCACGTCTCTGGGATCTGTACAGACTGTTATATTCAATACACCTCCCCATGGCGAACGTCATGCTCATCCAGTGGTTGTGTCTACTTGTAGTAAGTGAAGCTTTCTCATTATATTTATATTGTTTAGAAGGAGAGACTTATTATACTATATATGTAATAAAATTACAAATTATTAAAATTTGTTTGCACAACACGATCGTATTTTTCCGCCTTTTAATATACATGTTTTTTCTTTTTATTGTGTGCGCAGATGGATCTACGTTCAAACTCAAAGGTTGTATCCTATCAATGTCGTTCTTAGATTGCAACGGTGCTCTAATTCCGTATTCGTACGAGTCTTGGAAAGACGAAAATACGGACGGCAAAGAACGCAACAGTAGGTATTATTTTCTACATTAATTTCACAATATTTTTTGTGAGAATCAAAAATCGATGCAAAAACATAGCACAGTCTCGTCCGTGATATTTGCGTTATTATGATTGTGTCACGGTTTTCTGTATGTATAGTATCGTTTTAATAATAATATTCAATTTCTGTGTTAAAGAGGGTCAAGGAAAATGTACAAACAGCAGCAGAATGTCACCGTCGATGCAAGTCGGCAGCGGGGATAGTTTCGAGGATAGACAATTCGTTGTTCTTGCATCGGAAAAACAAGCGAGAGTCGTGGCGTTACCTTCTCAAAACTGTGTATATAGACAACAGCTGGCGGAGACTCATATGGTAATTAAGGCAGAAATCACAACTCTGAAAGGTATTGTCTACATTTTACATTTTACGCAAATAAACACGTGTCAATCGGTTATTGTGTGCCCGCGCCGTGTCGTCGCTTTAACACGTGTAATTTTTGATTCGCTTTTTCTGTTTAGACAATGTCTGCTTGGTGTGTTACGTTTCGAACGGTCACATCACTACTTATAGTTTGCCCAGCCTTAGACTGCTGATAGACGTCGATTTTCTACCTCTTATAGATTTGAGGTAAGAGAAATAAACCACCTTCTTACAGGCTTTCTTATTTTAGCTGTCAAGGCAACATAATAGTGGCAATTACTTGCACATGACGCGTTGCACTATATATGCTACTGTAATATTGCAGAAGTTTCTAAACTTTTATACTCTTAATATACGTACGTACTTATTATATGAAGCGTATATTTTGGAAGCATAAAATCTGTGCCATTTATAGCTTCTAGAACGACATATGAATATATAAGTATATATAGATTGAATAACGTATATTTCTTTCTGCGTATCTACTTACATGCAGTTGAATTAATAATACGTATCCGCTTCTAATTGTAATTAAATTTACTCAAGCCAGTGAACTTTATAAGGGATTTAAAGTGATCAAACTTGCATATACAAATTATCTTTATCATATTATTTGTGTCGCAAAGAGACTATAAAACATTGAGAAATTAAAAATAAAAAGAAGGTTTTGTTTTCGTATTTCTTCTTATCAAGCAACTTTCAATTCTCATATTTTACAGCGATATTACAATTGATAGGTTGGAAGGCGATTGATGTATCTCATATCGTATACATTTACGAAAACTTATTGCTTCTCATTAGAAAACAGAAAATAGGATATACGTATTTTTTAAGAGGTAAAAGAGAATTGTTTTAAAAATCTGAAAATTATTTTTAAATAGAATACCGTGAAGTTTACTTTTCGTTTATATCAAACAAAAGTTTATCTATTTGTTAGTGCGTCTATAAGAAAGTTTTAAATTATTTATATCTCCAAAGCTTTCTCTCTTAACGCGCAAAGAGTTTATCTTTTTTAATATTTATACAATTATCATTTATAGATTTATCCGTAGCGCATGGAATTGGTTAATCTTATTAAAATTTCGCTTATACTTTTATCGCTTAAATTTTGTATCTATTCACAGTAGAGAGCGATAATAAACGCAAGTTTGAAATCCATCGGCTAACATCATCGAGTAGATTTAGATAAGGTATCAAGGTAAAAGCCAGATATGTGCGCGCGACACGTATAAAATATTGTATCAGGCTCTATCTCAGGTACTTATCTTCGAAAAAAATATATATCTTACTTTTGCATTAATTACTCTTTTTTTTTTTATAAAAGTGTATAGTAATATATTACGCTATCTATATTATATATGTGTACAACGTTCTCTAGAAGTGTGCAATTATTACATAGATCTTACGTGATTTTGTTCTCTCTAAATTTGCAATGATTTTTGAGGCACAAATTTACTCGTAAAACGGAATATTTTCAGCAAGAAACATAATGCGGCACACTTCTGGAAAAATTTTCTTACGTATAAGTAGAAATTGCGTCAATGCTTAGGAGCTACGTAAAGTAACTTTTAACTATCGATGTGTTGATACGTAATTCTTTTTCGTTACTTGTAAAATTTGGCCTATACGGGCAAACGTAAAAAAGTAACAATAATTTTTACAACTTTATATAAATATTGAATATTTACACATTAAGAAGTGAACTAACATTTATTAATAATATTGTTAGCATGTGCGAGATTTTTCTCTTGCAAATAAGCGCACTCGTTAACCCTTAACACAATTAGAGCATGCTTTATTTTTTACTGTTTTTTTTTCGAGCACTTCTCTATTGCACTCTTTTATCTTGAAGTATGCTAAGTTCTCAAAGCAACGTTGTGAAACGAACAAAAATGCGAAGTACGCTTTCTAGAACGTGCTACATTGAGAAATGGAAATTACGTATGTTTTTCTCGCATAGCGTTTCACAACAATTGGCATTTTTTATGGCAATTCTTGATCTGTAAGTTCTAATTTTTTATTCATTCAAAATGTTGTCTATATCTCATTGTGTACCATATTTACGATTTCTACTTAGCAAAATCTGGCACTACACGAACTTTCAGCCGACATTTACCATTATCGTCTGTTCCACTCTAACAAATGTTTCGACATACATAGAGAATAAAAGATGTATACCGCGCGTGTAAATATATACATGAGTCTCCTTTTTTTTGTGAAAATAACTGGGCTGGCTGTTTTAAGGGTTAATGCTAAAATTATAATACAGTAAAAAGAAATAACGTAACTGTTATATTAATCCCGTGTATGGTCAAACGTTCACATTCCTCCTGTCTCTGTAATCTCTAACAGTTTTCAGACCACAAAACACGGCATTGTAGACCCCATGTTGTCCATATGGGGTCACCAACTCTTTGTTAATGGCGATACCGATCAGTAAGTCATCTATGAAGTACAGCTCACCATATAACCCTTTATACACAAAAACAAACACACAATGCCTCTGCGTGCAACATACTGTCTTCTCTCGCGAGTCTCAACACAAGTTTGTCTCATCAGCTTTTCATACTCTTTCTACACAGAAATATGCATTTTTTCGCGTGAACTTGATACCTTTTATAACTGTCAAATTCCACCATCTTTCAGAGCTTTACGCTGTATATATACAACCAATGCACACTCAACACTCTTTTACAGTTGTATCCCGATATTGTGATATTTGTAATGTACAAAAACTCGTGAAAAAAAACGCACCTTGGTAAAGCTATCATGCGCATATTTTTTACAGGATTGCAAAGACCCTTTGCTTCAGCAATCGAGGCCACGGTTTATATCTCTCGTCACCTATGGAGATTCAGAAGTTCTCAGTTTCGAGCGAATTTTGGTAAATTAATTTTCTTCATCTCCTATTTCGCTTTTTTCATTCTAATACGAAACACGTGAAGATCGAGTTAGCTTCATAAAAACGTTAATAACAATTCATAATAATATTTATTCAATTAGCGCTGAACTGACGGAGATGATGGGCGATCTATTTATCGGTCACGATATGCCAGAACCACCTAAGGAGAGTTTCTTCAAAGGTTTATTCGGTGGCGGTTCGAGAAGTCTCGATCGGGAGGAGTTATGTAAGCGAAACATACACATGTCTTTATCGCAAGATAACGGAGCAAATATAAATAATTCAACAAAATAAAATTACAGTTGGTGAGTCAAGCGGTCGTGCGTCGCGCACAGTCGCGAAACACATTCCAGGACCAAATGAGGCAATTCGGGAGCGAGTCGCAAGCGCGACGGGCGAGGTGAACATGGCGCATCAAATGGTCTTGGAGCGCGGCGAGAAATTATCGCAGCTCGAGGAACGAACTGCGCGCATGATGTCGGAGGCCGACAACTTCTCGCAGAACGCTCACAACTTGATGCTCAAGTACAAAGACAAGAAATGGTACCAGCTATGAGAAAGCAACGCGGCCCGAGATTGGAAAAACGACGCAAATTTCTTCATTTATTTAACGCTCGTGTCTCGTCTATGAATTTTTCGTCGTTAAGAAACCAATACGTTAGACGGTTATTACGATCCTCACACACGCACATATGGGAAACATTTACACAAGGGGAAGAGGGATTAAGGGGAATAATATATTATATATATAATGTACAATGCGATTATATCTGTGCCGCGCACACGGTACACACGCACATTCTGTAACGAGATAAGAAAACACAAAGAAAAAGATATATTTCAAAGCGAATAAGTATATATTTAACGGCGGCGCATCTCGAGCATATAATTAATAAATTTCTGCACGGAGAGATGAACAAAAGAGAGACGTCGTTGACGAGAATAATACGAGGTGAGGTTCGGACCGTTTCTGGAACAAAGAAATGTATTTTGCTTCTATTGCGTCCCATCTAAAAAAAACTCTACTCTCTTAAAACAAAGTCATAAAATTACACGTTAATTGTGGCAAATTTTTTCAACAACTTCTAGCGATTGCTATCAGAGTGCAGCGCTATATTTTTGCAAACAAACTTGCGAACTAATTCGAGAAAAAAGCAACAACGTAAAATATACACATATATTTACTCGAGAAACGGTCCGAATCTTTGCGACATCGAGAGTAGAGGTCACACACCGGGGTTTTTCGCCGCGTTGCGCTTGCGCGCGGGATGTGTCGCGTATAAATCATGATTATACAAAATATAAAAGTACTTATTATATATACGACACGCATTATAGAGATGCGACAGATAATTGAGATATACGCGAGTCAATATAAGCAATTATGTAATAATTCGCCTTTTAACTAATGGCACTCGTTAATTCATTCGGACGTCCTGTGAACGTTATTTCTTGGCGCCTTGCCTTGTTTGCTTCTCAGCAAAGAATTGTCAATAAGTATTTACAGAATGTCACGTTGTTGCATGGTTTAAGCACTTCTGAATACATGTAGAGTCGAGTGAAACACCAAAAAAGAATCGCATTAGGTTTAATTTGGCTAAAAATAATAATAATATAATATACATACATTATACACGTATATATACATATATTACACATGACTTCTTAGATTAATATTAATATAAATGTGTTGTATATTTAAGAAAATATATATTATACTGAAAGAGAGAAAGGAAGAGAGAAAGAGAAAGATGGCTAATTCATAAAACATATAATAATGCCATTAAACTTTGCAGTGTAGCGAATAAAACATATTATAGAAGAGTTGTTATTGACATAATGATTCTTATTCCGCGATGGTGTAAATTTTATAATCGTGTACATTGTAAGCTGACTTGTATCTAAGAATTTATCGTTATACGCGACCGTAGATAATTTCGTAATAAATATGCATTAAGGGGACAAAGTGAAACAACCAATGCGATTCTTGTGAGTTCGTTGAGTTTGTACGAGTTTTGTAGACGGGATATTTTTTTGGGGAAGGGAATTCTCGATAAAAAAAAAAAAAGAAAATGATAATTTCACGCTTTATCCTAAGAAAGTCACGAACGCAGGCAAGACGGCACAGCGACACTAATTCCGAATGTATTGACAATAAACGTAGTTAATTATACTCAGTGAGAGAGAGTATCGGATAAAAGTTGAATGCAATGAAGAATATATTTTATCCAGGATGGCGGGTCGCGCGCAGAAACTGCCGCACTTGTCACGCTGATAACAATGTATTAGTTGTTATCGATATTGTAGTTATATATCGCTAGATACACACTTGTGCTATGTATATACCTATACATATATATATATAAAGAAATAAATACAGTAGGCCAGATTCCGCGTTATAAAGCTGTTTATATAAACAATGTGTTATGAGTTACGCTATTTCAATGCCGACGATAAGTTCAATTGGATTTACGGTATATATTCAAACAATGTGCAATGAGTCAACTACCGTAATTTTAACACTTGCGTATAGTTTAGATTAATTAAAGACAATATGAAAATATATACATATGCGTGAGCAAACCAGATACGTACATGTGCGTGTGCATGTATATGTTTGGTCATATGTATATGTCTATAAATATATACATACACATATGTGATAAGTTCGTTTGAATTTATCGAGGCTCTGAATCGTCGTATACTGCTTCCATAGCAATAATTGTATAGTTGATGTTAATATGGTACTAATATCACACTCGTATATATATATATATTATACTTAAATAATGTATCCGCAGAAGATTAATTAGTAACGCATTTTTTCGAATTTTAATTCGAGTTCATAATATAATTTTCCTTCGACAATATACACAAAGAAATAGAGAAATCCGTTGTTCCATTACACTCTTATCACGGGATGTCTTCACTATCGATTATTAGTACAAAAACAAGACGCGAGCTCATTCGTCGCGAGGTGTGTGCGAACTGTAGTTGAAAAAAAAAATATATATATACATATACAAATACCTATATATTGATGCTGAATTTGTAATACGTTCGTGAGAGTGCGCAGATTAGTGACGACTCTGAATTTCGAGAATCCTGTTTTGAGAGCTAAACTGCTGACACTCTGACAGACGTTCCCCCCCCCCGCAACACTATCTTGCGTCTAGAATTAATTATTCCTTCGAATACCCGACACACACACTCTCAGTATGTAAGCAGTTTAATGGTAGATAAGATACATTCAAAATAAAATATTAAATATCCTAAGCAAGCGGAGAGATTTGTTAATGCCCGAGTGTTGGTACATATATATTGTATAGGGAAGAGGCGTTTTTTCTCTCTTTTCGGTGGAACAAGAACTGTTTACTATATTAATAGAATAGACAGCTTAATTGTGAGCTAATTATCGAAACAAATTACTTAAATTATTATTTGTTAATGTTGCAGTGATATATCCTAAAAATTTGTTGCACAAAAACTTATACTATATATACATATATTTATCGTCAATTTCTCATTATTTATTGAAAAACTCAGTCATATCTTTGAAAAACTTTTCAAAGTACTTCAAAGATCATAGTACGTAAAAAGAATTGCGAGAAGTAGATGAAAACAAAAAAGATGCTCGACTGTGATTGATTGATTGATCGATTCGTTTACTGTTTAAGTTTTGTAGCTTTATGTGCTATGGTCTCGAAGAGTTTAGCGAACACGTTATATTTCTAAAAATAAAAAAAAATGAAAAATTTCTACCATTTCTAAATCTATATATTTATTCTAATAGTATATCAAGTTTTTTCTGTTCAAATCAGAGAAAACTTATATATTGTTTATCGTTTGTTGTTTTTACACATGTTATATTATTATATATATCTGAAAAATATATATATATAAATATAAGAATAATAGCGTACACAATTATAGAATTATATAGAAAAATGTACAGCTATGTTCTAAATTACAAATAAATATACGAATAAATACACTCATACACATACCACATATATATAAATAAAAATATATACGCGATATTAGTTGAGTTCAAGTAACCTTTACAGTGCTCTAGAGAACGTTGGGCCGAACACAAAAAAAAAAAAAAAGTAATCGGAATATACGCCATTTGAAATTTCACTAAGTGTTTGCAAGTTATATGACTTGTTTTAAACATAAATGAATCATTTTTGTTATGTATGTTTTTTGAAAAATTTCTTTTATGCAAATATCATTGCTCTCTCCTTATAAAACAAACTTTGACATTGCTCGTATGATTAAACATATGATTTCAGATTCTTCGTTAAGTCGTAAGATGCGTTACTTAAGTTTAATATTGTGAAGAAAATGTTTTTTGCTTTTTAGCGCAAGTACTTAATGCTTTCGACTTCTACCACTACACTATTGATCTAATAGCATTTTTATTATTCAACAGCTATGATATACGTGTAGATATCATTTTATAATTGTAAGAGTACTGCCTCGGCTACAGACTGTATCTTTGGCTCTCAACTTTAATAAATGAGTTTTACTCAGTCAACCAACGTCATCATATCCTGGTCTCCCGTTTTTCTTTACGTCATAATGTTATTTTAAAAGTACAATAGTATAATTAGCTAATTTGCATGATTGTTCTTCCTTTTTAAAAGAACACGTTAGTCTCTCTCATCTGTTTTAAAAACTAGTTTTTTTTTTCTATACAAAGTGAACAGTTCCCTGTGTTATTCAAATTTATGTATATAATACTTCGTTTGTATGTTGCAACACAAACATTTTAACCACAGTAACTTTTTGTTACGACTAGAGAGAGAGAGTCAACTTTTTTCTTGTATTTGCAGAACCGTATAAAATAGATTTTACAAGTTTGTAAAATAAATCTTCACGTTTTTACAAACACATCGAGTTCGTATGTCGTTCAAAAATTCTATTTTCTGTTTAATCGACGTGTTATTTAGCACAGGAAAAACAGAAAGACTGCGCCAGGTGATGAGCCATCTTACGACGAGATTCCTCGCGCCAAGAAAAAATCGCGCATGGGTCAAAGCTCTCGTAAACCTCTGTCCTTTTTTTTTCGCGCTCTTTAACCGGAAGGAATGGTGACTGCTATCGACACCACCCGGGCCCGTAATTAAATTAATTTCTGCGTCTCTTCCTTCGCGTCCCGGTATAGGCATTGGCGTGGAATAATGCAGTGGCGCGACGCGTTGCGACGCGCCCGACTCAGGGCGTCGAAGGAGGTGCCTCTCGACCGCACTCTCGCGCACACTTCTCATTTCCAATTTAAAAATAATGAGAATTTACTGCGAATAGGTGAGGCTGTCGCGCACAGATACCCATTGACTACAGCGGCGTCTCGGTCGTGCGCGAAAGAGGAGAGTGGAATGAATTGAAAAAAATTCAATTTAGCCTCCGGTACACCACCGCCGCCGCCGTCGACTCGCTCGCGCGTCTCGACGCGACATGACGCCGCTCTTCCTTTCCTCGCCACAACAAGAACGAAGAACCGAAATTTGCTTATCACGATTATTTATAATGAAACGTTTTCGTATTTTCCGAACAATTTATACGGTTGTTCGCGAAAATCTGAATATTTTCTGTTTTAAGAAATTTTTTCTCTAAGATGTAGTTTTGCAGAAAACTGCGAAAGATACGTCCGACGTTTTTTTTTTTACTACCAACGATTGATTTTCTGACCGTTCGTCGTGATCGACGTCCCGAAGATCGAGAGACGTTCTCACGCGATTCGAACGACAATATACACGGCGTTGGTTTGTGTCTCGACAACAACACGCGAGTAAATAGGAAACGAATAAAGATCGGAGTGCGAAGAAGCGCCGGCAGTCTGTCTCGGGCGCGCGCAATAAAATGTAAATTCGCGGCAATTCGCGCCTCGCCCTCCCGATATCGAGAACCCGGACGCCTCTCTCTCTCTCTCTCTTTCTCTCCTCGCCTTCACCTATCTCGTTCCGGAGAGATCTCCGTGTAACGGTGAGTAAGTGGCGAGTGCTGCGCCGTTCGGAGCCCGCGGGCCCCCGCCGTCATTTGCATGAGTAACGGTGGAGTGCGCGCCCGTGGAACGGCGGAAGGCTAAGGGTAAGCGAGACGAGTAATTTATAGTCAATAATTCTTGGCGAGGCAATTTTCGCATCGAGCGCGAACGTTTCCTCGGGAGCGTCGACGACGACAGAACGGCGAAGTAGAACGAAGGCGGAGGAAATGAGGCGGAATGTTAAATAGCCCGGTCGTCTTTCAGGTAGCCCTAAAACTAGCACGCGGGGAATCGCTCGCGAAACGAGTCTGCGTCTCACAAGCTGAATTAAACGAGCTCGTTGATGCCGTGTTTTGTTTTTGCACTCAATCTCTCAAACGAGAGACATTGGAAAAACAATTGAGATTTTCTGTTTTTGTTTTGTTGCATTACGAGAATGGTTTAACTATCGAAAAATAAACAAAAGTCGTGAGCTTGAAATTCGAAGAAACAACAAAGTCAGGGTAGTTTTTTTTTTAATTCATTTGCGTGTACAAGTTGTGTGTGTACATTTGAATATACAATTAAGATCGAAGAACGAAGAAAACTTCTTGTGATTCTTCATCGTTCTTAAATTTTTCAAGTTATTTTGCACGAAAAAAAAAAAAAAAAACAACAACAACGTTTCTCGGCGGCTGTCCGGTTTTTTGCCTTTTTATTTACGGCATAGTGTGCCACTTATGTGCGGAAAGTTTAGCCGTGATGGCGTGGCGAGGCGAAGATTACCAGGGTAACATAAACCGATACCGACGACATAAAGGTGCACGGCCGATATTAGATACCAAACCGCCCGCCCTCTCTTAACCTTCCTTCCGCCTTCGAGTATCCCACCGAGAGCTATCAGACTGATAGAATATGTTCGACGTCGTCGCGACGCTCCGACCATCACCAACAACACACCCCTCCCTCCGACCGAATTCTATATCGGCTGTATACGCGATCGGTGTGCACACACGCCGCTTTATTTAGAGTGGCTTTTATCGCGCGCGAGCTTAACTTACATACTGAATACAATCAACCTTCCTCCCCGCGTTCCTTGTCGTTCTCGCAAGTCAACGAGATACGCTTCTTTCGTGTTTTTTTTTATCCGCGCGCAAGCTCTATTATATTTGTCAGGAACGTAATAATTCCGAACATAACAGCGCGATTATGTTATCTGCTATAAATCGCGGGTGCAACTTATCACTCGTGCACAAAAACATAACGATGACAATTAAACTCACTCGTGTGGACTTGACGATTTCGCCGATGTGTCGCCGTGTTTTGTTTGTTGCCTCTCTCACTTCGCTCAGCCGCCTGCCTTGTCGCGTTTTGAGGACTCGCACACTTGTGGATACGAGTGGAAATCACGCGATCGTCATTTTGCACGGCACTTCGGACGAATCACCAACGACACATTATGAGCGGAACGCGTTAACGAAACGAAACACGACGGATCTCCTCTGACACAGCTTCCGATTCCGACTAACTTTCTAGAGTACGTCGTCTCGACTTTTCCGAAAACAGTCGAAACACGCGTTGACAACTTCACTTCGATAAGCGATGCGTTTCACTTGACCCGACCGAGAGCACTGACCAATCTGCGCTCACACGCGTCTGCTTCGAGAGTTCACCACCGTGCCATTTGCCATGTTTGCACATTCGAAATCTGCACTAAGTTTTTCGACCGGACAACGCGACTAGCGTCCAGTGAATTTCCGCGCGTTGTTTTGCTCCTTCCGTTTTTGTTCTTCGCGCGTGTAAGTACAGTACATTTTTAAGTGTCGCGGTTGAGTGGCAAATCGCCATGTTTTAATCCAGTGCGGGATTGTGATTCGCGTGATTTCCGATCGATGATCGCAAATCAAACAAGCGAAACGTCCGGACGCGCGAATCGAAGATCGCGAAAATCGAAAACGCCGCCGTGCGAGAAGCAACAAGCGATCGTCGTGTCTCGCGTGATTTGTTCTCGCCTTCCACGGTGCGACATCATGTAAGTGAGCGAGCGGTGCGCAAGAATCCGCAAGTGTCAGCGCCGAGTGTCGGCTGTGCCAATACGAAGTGGCGGGCGATTATCTCATCAGGTTAATTTTCGCACGGCGCGTAGCGGAGCGTTCGAAATGGATTTAAATAATGGCACACGGTGTGTATTGACCGGTGAGTGATTCTGATATTACTTTATTTCTCTCTTTTTGATATTCACGTTTCATCGTAAAATATCGACAAAACCCGTCATCAATTGTCACGCGCCAAGCAACATGATTCGCGATAATGAAAATTTCCGATTTTTTTGTTTTTTTAAATACAAAAGAATTAACGGTAAGAATAAATAAATATATACAAAAGAGAAAGAGAGCCGCGAATAATTTGTGTGGGCACTGTTTGGACGTAATAACAAGCCGAGAGGAATTTGAGGATAGGTTTAGCGATTTATTTCACGTCGGAGCTATTGTGTATCGGAGCCGTGCCTCTCTCCGAAACAAAGCATGAAACCAGCGCGGATTAAGCCTATTATTTTGCTGTTCATTATAACAATTACCTGTTGATGGGGCGAGGTGGAAAGGGGGAAGTTGCGTCTGGGGGCAACGCGGGGGAAAGCGGCGAGGAGAGTAATGATTGAAAATAACAGGAGTCGCATAAACGTGCAATCACGCAGCGCCGTGATACACCGGGAGGTTGTCGGAAATGATCACAGATTTCAGGGCAGTGTGATCACTCAGCTCGAAGACAAGCATTATGATAATGATTCTCATTATACGCGATCAGATTATAGATTATAGAATTATAAGCCTGTTATGATAAATCATTTGTCTTGTCATTATTTTTCGTCGCGCGGCGATCCAACTCTACTCGGTCGCACCACGTGTTTCTACGAGTTTTTAGTTTCACATTCTAGATGTCGCGAGATGTCCGTGCGGACACGTCTTCCGCGCATTCGAATGAATATATCACGTGTAAAATATAAAACCCGAAGAGACCGACGTGTGTATTTTTCTATTTACGAACAGTAATCGTATTTACGATGCGAGTTATAAAAACAAATTGAAAAATTTATGAAAAAAAAAAGGAAAAAAAACATCGGTGAGTTTATACTTTGCATTTTATTGATGTGTTTGGTCAAGCGAGGCAAACAGTTTATATAATATATTGATATTTTTGACAAAAAATATTCTGGTATTGTAATATCTCGAGTTTGCTTCTCGCATTATTAACCTTTTTGAAAAACCGCGACGATGAAGCCCGAGATGAGAAGAAAAGGAAAAAGTTTTCGTGTCATCTCTCTTCGCCTTTGTGATTTTCCTTTAAGAACGACGGCTGTCGGATGGACAAATCGTTGGGTATTAATTGTGTCAGAAAAAGATTAATGAGGAAGCATACACGTACGCGGCGTGTGAATACACTGTTGAGCCAGACAGAACGCTGAGTCAGAAGAAGGATAATGCAGCACCAGTTTACTAAAGTCACGCGTACATATATAACTTTTTGTATCTTATCCGATGATGATACTACAAGCACACGTTGTTGCATTTTAACGAAAGCTCTTTCCATCATTAGTATTAATGAATTTTTTTTTTTTTATCCAACAAGGTTAGAGAAACACGAGATATTTAATTATTAGCGTTATGTAGAGAATGTTACATAGAATTAATTATTAATATCATGTAGAATTTGTCGCCCCGCGCGAAACTATCGTCTTAATTTCGGCTCCGTTTCTCTCGCAAAATGTGTGTAATCGATTTAGCAAAAGAAAATTCGCTCTCAAAGGTAGCGCTTCTATGTCGACCGCGTCCGTTACGGAGAATAGCGAGAGGCAACGCGCGACGACGATGATGACGATCTGAAATTGAATGGAAATAGCGCGCGGTGCCCGCGAAACGCGACGAACAAAGAAATCAAAGGACAGTTAGCTTCCCGGAGCGATGCTTGTATGCTATCGGTTTTACTCTTCGTTGGGCCGTCGTTGGTTTGCAGCGGGCCAATTCTCACCCTAGTCAAGTCCCGTAGCTTTCCGCGGTCGTTATGGGTATTTGTACAACACAATTTATCTCGCCCCGGGGCCACGGAATCACAATGGAGCGGGCCGCGCGACGTCAACTCGACTTCGTAGGAAATATCCGCCGTAATAATCGATTACCGGCGAGTGAAAGGAACAGAGAAACCGTCGGGGTCGAGAGAGATTTGGCATGGTGTGTGTGTGTGTGTGTGTGTATGCGCACACGTTTGGCAGGAAGGTCTAAACTTGGACGCACGCTGCGTCATCGAGAGATTAGGTGGATGATTAGTACTAAAGAAATCAAGAATATGAAATTGTGTGCGCGACGAGCGTTTTCTTGCGAAATACAATTCAGAGAACAATCCAAGTAAATTAAAAAATTTCGCACACGTTAAAAAAAATTAAACAACTTTGGCAATTACATTTTTTTTCAACAGTTTTCGAGATAACGAAACACAATATTGAGATATGTTGTTTCTTTTCTATTTCAGTTAAGGTCGTTTCACGCCTCAGAGGTTTGTTTTGCCCCTCCGTTGACTAAAAGATTTTGCTCCGATTTCCCAAGAACGCCGTTGTCCTTTGCACGCTCTGTCGACTGTCCGCGTCCATTTTCGTGTTTACACGTATGCCGGCGACCATAAATAAAGCCCGTAGGGGCGGCACCGTTGCCGGACGCGATCCGCTCGTGGACGGGAAAACTTGACTAATTGCGAGAAACCGCCCTGACATCGTTGCTCGTTTCTTTTCCGTCGAGATAGCCTTCCGTGCCGCTTTTACGGCCTTGTAATATACAGTTGGAGCACATCGCGCGGTTTTTCGCCGGCCGTTCATCATTCCGAGACTAATCTCTTCTACTTGGGCTGCGCTGACGCGTCGTTTGTCTTGCCCTTAACGTTAAAGGTAGGTAGGTAGGTAGTAGTCACATGGGGCGCGCAGTCACCTCCGGGGTTGTGTCTGTTCCACGTCCGATCTTATACGAGACATAGTTTCACAACAGTGCCGTGAAGAGGTTTATGTCTGATCTAAACTTTTTTTCTTCCGGATTTTGTGCGCCGTAATGGAAAAAGAAAAATTATTTCTTTCTTCTATTACATTTCCCAACTGTTTGTGCAACGATATAACTGTATTGTACAACTTCTGTAACTTTATTGTTTCTTTTGTTGTACACAGAGAGAAAAAATTGATTATTAGAAAAAATGTATTTCACTTTCATAAACGTATTTTGCGATGACATTAACGTGACGCAACATTTTCTAAATAGTTGCTTGCACAACGTAGCGTTAGTGTGGGAAAAGACGCAAATAACTTTGCGAAAACGGGTCGATTTGCAGTTTTCGAAGAAGATCCGGTTAAGGGAGAGTTGGCGCGAATCGACGAAGCCTGCGGCCACATAATCTCGTTTAGCAGAGGTAATTGCTTCCTAATCGCGAGCTACCAATCAGCCTAACCGTGTTACGCCGTCTAATTCGTTTATGCAGCAATGTTGTATCGGACGAAACCCTCTGGCTCTCTTGGTCCTTATCGAGGCAGTACCGGATTACTCATGGGTCCTTTTCCGCGCTACTCCCTTTCCACGATTTGCCCCAATTCCGCGATTGGCAAACGATCGATCTGTAAGAGTGGCAATCGCGCGTGCGATGTGCATGTATATATATATATACGTGTGTGCGTATACGTGTGGTCACTTAATCACTCTCAGCTTGTCTCTCGACCACTCTGTTTTGATCAACGATTCTCGGACTTAAGTTTTTGTGGGAAAATGTGATTATCCATAGTAACAAATTTCTCAACGCGAATGCTACGTGTTTGACTCTCGAACGTCAAGTTTTGTTTTACAAATTATTTAGAATAAAAAATATTTTCGCGTCAATAGAATATGCAAAAGTTTCGAAAATTAAAATTTATGATGCGTAACTTATATTTATATATGTATATATTTTTTTATACCGTTTTACTGTTCAACAATACATTTCAAACCAAAAAAAACGTATATTTTATTTAACATCGTTGGAAACCTCTCGAATTTGCACATTTTTTTCACGATTTTATTCACTTCGTGCAAACATGCGTTTTTTTATGTTAACAATTAAATACAGTATAACGCGATATATTCATGTTTGTTGAGTTGATTTAAGTTTAAAATACGCGCGACGCAAAAAACAATGTGTAGGGTATACGTACGTGTACGGTGTAAAAGGGCATCGATGAAACCGGTTTGTCGACCGACGGAAACCATTGAATTTACTGGCGCCAACTAATCCGTTTGAAGCACTCTTCAGCGAGTGTGCCGGTGCTTTCTTTTACCGCCGTCGATGTCTTCCCTGATGCAAAACATTGCCGGAAGAGGCCTCTTGACTAGGTACTTGATGTGTGCTGCAACTTTCTTGCCACGGCCAAGAACAGCGCGCGTGTTACGCGCGCGATGCGGGGTGCGGCCATGACTCTTCGACGGGAAATGATAAACATTTATGCGTTACGTTGCGACATGAACGAAAATCAACACGTGGGAAAATATATATGCAGAAAACTTTTGTTATTGCGGAATCGATTCCACATCGAACAGTGAAAACTTGAAAATACAAATGTGTTCTATATTATTTTTTAATAATAAAAAATAATAGTGATAAAAACAGAAGTTCAATATTCTATAAAAAAATACGTGTAAACACGGATTGAAACACAATTCGCGACGCGAAACGAGAGTCTTTGTCCTGTAGGCTGTTTTCCTACGTTCGGTTTTGCGGTTCGATAGAAGCTTTGAACGGCTGAGGTTGGCCACTCACATGAATACATTATCCTTTCTAACGAGGTGAACAGGTCAAGTAGATGGAGTCGCGGCGTTTGTCCATAAATCACTCAAAGGGCAAGCGAGATCGCTCTACGTGCAAGCACAGCCGCGTTCAATGCCGCTCGACTTCTCATGCATCTGCTTCCGCTTTTTGTGTCCCGACGTTGAGTCCCGCTGACGTTCTCTCTTTTAGAAGTGCGGAGAGCAGAAGACCGCGCGCCAAGCTTCTCGTTTTCCTTTATTCAACTTATCGTAAAATTACCGAGGGTTTTTATCCGGGATGCTTCGCATGTCGCGTTCTGTTATCGTGTTCCGCGCGGCGGAAAAGCGATAATAGCTCGCGACACGAGAGAATAATCGTGGAACTGTTTATAATTCCGCGGCCTACTGTTTTCGTGATTTTATATTTTCACGAAGAATGAAAATTCCGATTTGTGCGCGATACATAATAACGCCAACGCGCGTTTCGCCGATCCGTATAAACTCGTGCGTATAAATGTTATTCAGTCGAAAATCAATTTTACAACGCAGTTCAAGTAATTTAGGTCTTGTTACCGGCGCGCGGCGAGTCCGCCGCGTGACGGTAAATTGTCGACGCTTGTCATTGGGAAATCGATGCTTTTATAACGCGATCGTTTGCCGTATTACGAATGATTTATTTTCATGTAGCGATGGTGATTAAGGTCGTGCTTGCACTGGAAACGCGAGCGCGCTAATATTGATTCGCCGTAATACGACAGAAGCGATGACGACCGTAATTTGTAATTCTCACCGGAGCATTTGACTGTGAACATCATTAATTTACGCAGTTGGTTAAACGTTAGGCGCATTTACATAAAGCTGTTTTTATACACGATAAAACAGCATATCGTGAAATGATGACAAAACACGATGAGAAACATTACTGTGAAAGAATACTTCGTACGGCACTATTTATATCGTGTTACACATTTCAAAGAAAATGATGTGTTTCGCATATTTAACAATATTAATAAATACAATCAAATATTTATTTATTTTTTTTTGTAAGAAATGATCTGCTGTATTTCGGTTTTAAAAAGAGAATCAAACTCTTGAATAACATAGAATAACAATCATATTATAACGACGTATTAGAGTTGACATAGATAGTGACACTGACACGTGTCATCAAGTAAATACAAAGCTTTAACTGTATATAATATGTAAAAACGAGAAATACTTAAAGTCAACGCAAAAATTAGAATTGAGTGAGCAACTCTTTGTCGACAATGTTCAATATCTCTCATAACTGTAACGTCACTTAACTACGACGTTGCGTTAATAATAAAGCTATTTACACAACTTTTACAGTGTCTCGTAATATATAGTCATTCGTGCCTCTCTTCCATATGTAATGTCATGTACACACACAAAAAGTTCGCTGCACTACACATAATACAGATAGTTACTAAAACTTTGGTTACGCAAAAATAGACGCAGATATATATTTTATATATATATTTATATATGTATATATATATATGTATATCTGAACTAGTTGCCACCTTACATTAGAGATTTGTTGCACGACTATAAACAAATGTACAATAATTACAAGAGAGAAGTAGACATGGACATAATTTATAAATAGTACATATATATATGTAGTGATTACATTTTTATATATATATATCAATTATTTTCTCATAGTCGCAAAAACGGAGAACGCTTTAATTAAAAGTAATAAAAACAAAAAAGATTATTCACATCACGTATATAATTTTGATTAATTTCACATGAATTTCGAACAAAAAATATTGCGTATTTTCGTTTTGTTCTATTTACATACTTATGATAAAATAATATTTCATAATAAAATTGTCAAGCAAAGTTTTCTACGATATATTTCAATTTAGAATAATAATATAGTGGATGATAGTGTGTTTCTGTAATTTATTCTTTTTTTTGAATATTTTTGCATTAAAAAATGTTAATACAAAGCAAGTTTGTGCATTGTATTTTCTTATAAGGAAAACAATGGCCGCGATCGGCAGAACCGAGCGCTTAGTAAGCAATTTGTGATTATTGCTTATCATTGGCATATACTTTTACGTTTGCAATAGATCTTGCAATCTAATCTATTGCAATAAGAGAAATAGACCAATTACAGACAATAAATACAAAGCGCTAAATTGTGCTGAATGCGGCCATTAAATATATATATTTGTCTAAAATATTACTTCAAAAAGATTAAGATGCTCTTAAGCGCCAATACTTTTTTATGCTAAATTTATCCGAATTAATTATCTTCAGTTGTCATATATATACAATGTTGACTCTATAAATCAAGATTAGGGAAAAATTAAATTAAAATTAAGTAATCGATAAATTAAGATTTGAAAAGATCGCTTTTTATTTAAGCGACAATAATAATATTAACAACAATATAAATTCTTTCATTATGCAATTAACCAAAGGAATGTACTTTAAACATTCATTGTTCTTATAATTTAAATTAAAAAACGTTTAACGTTTTTATTGTTGTGAAAACAATTGATTTTTTATTAACGCAAAACCCGAATAATGTTAATATTCGTCTACACAGCATACAGCAAATTTTTCATATCGCCGAGTGATCAAGTAAATGCCTGACAAAATATTTGTCTACCCGATTACGATTACTTTCGTTCGAAATAAAATCCCCGTAATTGCGCATTAACAAATTCTAGTCATGCACACATTCGAACTCACATATAATCTCTCTCATGGAAGCGCAACGCGTCGCACTCTCTCTCTCTCTCCCTCTCTCTCTCTCTCTCTTTCTCTCACACACAACTTTCTCACTCAGAAATCACAGTTAAACATTGGTTTATCGACGTTTGGTGTGACACTCATCATCCGATTCTGATTGCAAGAGGCATCGCGGATGCGGTAGATGGGCAAAGGATGAATAAAGCACCGACAATTTTTTTGCATATTTTTTGAAATAATTGCAAGTTTGAAATTTTGAAGAATTTAGTAATTTCGCGAGCAACGTTTTTTACATCGCACATGTCCAAAGATTAATTATCTATAAATGTGTTGTTTTTTCAACTCGATCACGTAATCTTAATTTTTCGGAGAAACCAGTCGTCAATTATCGATAATAGTTTGTTAAATTGCATTTACAATTAACAAGTTATTATTATAGATTACTTCGTAAATTAACATTCAAAGATGTTTTTCGAGTTTGAACCGCGTTAGTGTCATTTTTATACCGACGTTTCGTAAACATTTCAGCTTGCTTCATCAGGGTTTCAAGAGCAGTCTGATACTTCGTAAATGTTGTTCTTATGTTTAGCAGTTTCGGTATATTGAAATTACATGTTTGTATTATTTGCTTCGATATATTAGCGTGATACTTTTTATGATAACGTCAAGTAGCAAAGCAAAATTAGCTAATAGCTCTCGGCGAAGTGATGCGCTTTTAATCCTCGAATGTTTGCGTGAACAGCTTTATACGAACTGATAATAAAATAGACAATGTTTCCCGCGTTTGTGTTTTAAGACTCCTGAGTATTTGTTGCAGCCATACCGTGATGTCAGAAGTGAGAAATTACATATGAAATTTATTCGAATCATTTTATTATGCGAAAAAACTAGATTTTTTTACATTTTAAAGAACTTTTTTCACCATATCTGTAAATTTTTATTAACATTCGAAGATGTTTTTCGGGTTTGAACCGCGTTAGTGTCATTTTTATACTGACGTTTTGTAAACACTTCAGCTCACTTCATCAGGGTTTCAAGAGCAGCCTGATACTTATCTGTAAATTTTTATTATTTGCCATCGTAAGGCATATTTTTATTGGAAATACGTGACATACATAGATTTTTATCGCATGTACTAGTGTATAATAATAAAAGTTCGAATTACAATTGAAAAATCTAGTTCTTTGATGCAAAAATTGCGCATAACAAAAGGTCATAATTTTCTATTCTAACGTAAATATGACTGTAGTGCTCAGAAGTCTTAAAATACATTTTTTTTTAAATTTTATTTACATATCTTAAATATACATTGGGACTCTAAATTATTCACATATTTTCAATTATATATTTTTATTGTTTTTAGATTTTGTTTTGTTTTTAATTTTTTTTTGTTCAGACTTTACGAATAAAATTTATGAAGATTTATTATAAATAAGCAACAATTAAAGACGAGAGAAAACAAAATTACAAATTACTTAAGTGTAGCGCGAGGGTTGAAACATTTGCATTTGATATAGTAGAAAATCGGTATATTAACATCATATCCATAAATAAAAAAGAAATCGTTTTGTGTATGTTCTTCCTTTTTAAGTTTTATATTGATTTTTTTGAATACAAGACAATCAAAATTCAACATAATTGTATTAATTGTAATTTAATTATAAATTGAAATTCACAATTTGCGGAAGACACACCGAGAGAGTATACCCTATCATGTAATAATCGAAAAGAATATATCCTACCGCGCCAATATTCTGCTCGACAAAAACTTGATGTTTCCCACGTAGCTCCGTGACAACAACAAGCATAAAAAACCAACACTTTCCGTTTTACATACTACGCGAGAGAATTTGCAGAGAAATTCACAGTTCGCCTCGCAAGTTACTATTCCTCGGCTCTCACGAACGCTCAGTACCAAGAACTCATTGATGCATCCCGGAAGCGGCGCCCAGACGAGGTCCATAGAGGGAGTACGGCGTGAAGTACGGCGGTAAACCGGCAGTCGCGTGCGGATGCGGTGGCGGCGGCGGTGGCGGCAACGGCAGACCTAGTGACGACAGTGACGGTGATATCAACGGTGAGGGTTTGCCATACGGATGATAACGCGCGGTGGCGAGCGGGCTCAACGGCGGCGTGGGATATGATCTTGCAAGTAGGGAATGAGTCGGTGGTAATCCAACCGGTGGCGTCAACAGGGATAACGCGGCGGCTGCGCTCGCAGGATCGGTTGCGGCGCTCGTTGTCACGCTGGTATGACTCCTTAGATGCTGCAGCAGCTCGTCCGACGTGGCAAATCGCTTGCCGCAGTACGCGGTGTCGCCGGCTATCCAGCTACACACGTAAGGAAGTTGCGTGCCCGCGGCTAAAGCGGCTAGTTGCGCGTGCGCGTATACCGCACTGGCCGCACCGAGCGGTCCGTAAGGTGAGACGGTGCCGGGTTTATGATCGCATTGCGCGCAGCCGGCTGGACAGGTACCAGGAGTCGCGCTCGCCGACAACTTGCCGTTGGCGAGGTTGGCGACGGCCGCTGCCGCCGCCGCCGCCGCGGAGCTCGAGTTGGACAGTAGATGCGAGTTGAGTTGGCAGCCGGTGCAGTAGGGATCGCGACAAATCGGCATCATGCCGTCGACCGTTCCGGTCGGATTCTTGAGCCGCGCGTACACGTAAGGGTTGACGGCCGCAAAACCGTTCTTCAGAGCAGCAGCATGGTGCTGCGACATGAGCGAGCTGGCCATCACGTCGATCGGCAACTGACCGGGAGTATAGCCTAAGTAGGCGGCGGTGGAGGCCGGCAAAGTGCAGGCCGGCTTAAACGTGCCCAATGGGAGATCTTTGATAGACGGATCGGTCATCGCCAGTACGCCGGCGGGACTGTAGGCGGGTTTCGACTGTAACGAGGGGCTACTGACGGTTGGCTGACTCGTGACAGCGGAATCCATCGTACTGTTTGATGCCTGTATCATTGAGGACGACGAATTCCTCGAAGCCGGCGAGTCCCGCGTTACCTCGCCGTTCGGAGTCGCGGTTTTTCTACCTTGCGGCGTAACCGCGCGCGTTGACGTGCTGCTTTGATTGCTGGGACATCTTTTGCCGCTGCTGCCTGGCGTCCTGGATCGACCGGACGTTGAATGGCTCGACGCCGATCGTGGCTCATCTGGCGAGGACGCTTTCTCGCGACCCAGGCAGGATTCATACGGTTTGAAACTGGTTTTTGTGGACTCGATCGACGGGGTTGTCGTGACTGACACTGTCACCGCCGGCGACGACTTCTCGCGACATTGCTCCGTCTTGGATGATCTGTTACTCGACGACTTGTCCAAAGAACTCAGCAGGGATTTGTTGGACGGTGTATCTGCTCCTATCTGGCTGCACGTTTGTGCCAACAACGCGAGTGGGCTCTTCTTTGCATCTAACTGAAATCAAAATAAAAATAATCTACTTAACCTTGAGTTGCACTATTTGGGTGAGATGTTTATGTTGGGAACCGTGTCTTATGTATACATTTATGTTTTAAAAATTGAGATTTTTAAACAAGCGACTCACACACTTCTTCAACATAATAATTACACACTTGAGATTTACAACTCTCACAAAGTTACAGAAATTAGAATAGTGTAGATACTTGATACGCAAAACTTTTTTATGTTTGTTACGTACGATGATGCGTAAACGTTATAATTACGATCAACTAATTTCAAAGTAATTAGCATCTGTCGATGTTGTTCGAGAAAGAAATCTAATTATTTGACCGATGTTTTTCTCAACGCGCACACCAATGATTTCCAATCAATAGTTTTTACGCCGCAGTATACGATCTGACAACTCGAAACTTGGCGCGTGACGTGTCCGGATGGAAGCAAGTCCAATTAATGACGCGCAAACCGCAATCTGTAGCTCTATGTCAGTCTCTCGACAAGTGAGAAGTGACGTGGATGAAGGGTGGGTGAGTCGGATAAACTTATCCGTCAGAATTCTCCTTGATTTGATTATCGAAAACTTCGTTTTTTGCTCGACGCACGGATTATGCGTCTTCTGACGAGTTCTACAAACGTGTTAAGTATTAAAATTATTTCTACCGGCAATTTAATCTGATGCAAATTTCTAATTCAGACGCTTGCAAAATTGCTGCAAATAATCTCTCTAGTTCGATTAATCGATCATTTAATCGGAAGAGGTATTTACGCACACGTTATAACTCTTAAGAAGCTTGAGGCGCGACGCGTCAGCGATGCGGAACGTCGTTGATAATCGTCATCCGTGTGGAGTATTTTTCTTTTTATATCGGAAAGAGAGAGAGAGAGAGAAAGAAAAAAGAAAAGAAGAACGCACTAAGAAATATAATCAATATGCAATTGCTCGATACAGACGTCATTAGCGTGTAAAGTGCGGGAATTTAGTATCGGCGCCTTCGCGGGTCCCCCGGCTCGAAGTGGCCACGATGATGCACTCGGTATAATTAACGTATAGAGGAGCGATATTTCTCGTCGACTGATACGTCCACCGAACAGATGTTCCGTCGTAATTAAAATGCAACGATCATGCAACACTAACCCGCCGCTCACGGCCGGGTCGGTACTAATGGCGCGACGCCGACAGATATTAATGCCGTGAATTGCAACAGGCCATTACGGCAACGCGGAGCTATATATTAATTGCGCTCGTGAAAGTTAACGGGAACGTTCGAACGTAATATTTTAATCCGCTAATGTCGCCCGCCGGCTTTTAATTGTAGCGACTAATTTATGCACCGCGTGACGAGCTTCCAACCCTTCGTCCGGTGCATTATGCAACCCCCCGTTGAAATGATCCTCATTCTTTACGTGAACCAGATTTTTTTTCCAGAGTTTCTCTTATGTTACTGATTTGCTGTTTGCGCACAATAACTGCAATTGTTGGATTATTTTTCAAAAGTGACTCACATAAAAAGCATTAGTCTTGCCAAAAGTTTTTGTTTGGTCGATTCCTTTTGTTACAAAGATATTTATGTGGTCAATTTGTTTCTAGTTTCAAAAAGAAACAAAAAACTTAACATCGTGTCATTTTTATTTCTTTTTTATAACGTCAAAAACCGACAAATGTTTTATTTAAAACAGCACTTTCTTTATTTTATTTTTTTTTTTTTTTTTTTTTTTTTTTTCTCTTTGTAACATCGTGTTCTGTATAGTTATAGATTCTTTTAACGAGACAAACCAAAGAGTATTTCTCCTACATACGTGCAAATTTATATATCTCTCATTTATTTTCGTGACAAATTGTTTTTTNTTTTTTTTTTTTTTTTTTTTTTTTTTTTTTTTTTTTTTTTACTCTTTGTAACATCGTGTTCTGTATAGACATAGATTCTTTTAACGAGACAAACCAAAGAGTATTTCTCCTACATACGTGCAAATTTATATATCTCTCATTTATTTTCGTGACAAATTGTTTTTTTTCTCGTAAAAATCAAATTGCTACTGTGTTACATTCAATTTCCGTTCGATTTTGCAAATGCTAATTTAAGCGAACGCATGTGCGTCGCCAATTGAACGCTTAACTGCAGCTGATTAACTGCGGAAAAATTTGACCATTACACACACGTAAGCCTATTATATCAATAATACATTCGGCAATATCCGCGCAATAACGAAGAGTCGATCGAATGCTCTATATTTCACTGGCTTTTCCATCTCATTCTCCGCGCGCAACAATCAGCATTGTATTACCGAATCGCATGTTGATTTATGACGCGCGTAAATCAGACCGACGCACGCCGAGACTTTGCCAACATTCGCTGTCCCCAAAATAGTTTAACAGGAGTCCGGAGGAGAGTATAAAACGCGACGCGCGTGTTTCCGTCGGGATTAACGAAACGACGACAGGCGACGTTAATGAGCCGCTAGAAAAGATATTTTCAAGCGAGACTTGTGTATACGCGACACTTGGAATAATTTGACTAGAGAGAGATGCACTTGCCTTAATAAAATATAAATACATGTGAATTTCCACAAAATGCTTTTTGGTAATCAGTGCGATTGTTGCGCGCGTTCCGGTTGTATTTATTTTATTTATTTATTCGCGTTGCAATTAGTTTCGAAATGAAGTGTACAAAAATTGCGAAATAGAGTCGTTTATTTTCATCGAAAGATTATACACGCGCGCTCAAAATAATGTTGTTAATTTATATGTTAAATATTTACACGCACACACACACACACACACACACACATACACACGGTACAAATTGAATTTAAATTCTCTCATTTCAATACGTAACAAAGCAAATATTCTCCATTTTTTTGAAATGCATATAAAACAGATGCAAAGAAAACGATGTTTTTTTTCTTCAAAATACTCTATAATTTTTCCGCACGCAAAACGATGCGAACGACAGCTGCTAAGAAATAACAGCTCGTTAAACATGAAACGCTGAAAGATGCATATCTCGAGAAATCGTTAACTCGCGATGTAAACAGGGGGAGAACAGGGGATGTAAAATAATAATAGACGTTCGTAAATAGCGTACATAGACAAAGAGAGGAGAAAAAGGGAGAAAAAAAGAGAGAGACAGAGAGAGACTAACCGTAGTAGGCAGCGGCGTGAGGTATTCAGGACGGAGATACTGATTCGCGCTGGACGTCAGCATCTTTCGCGGTCGATCCTCGCTCGCACCGTCAGAAGCACCACTTTTCTACCGCACTCTTCGGCGCATCGGCGAACCAACTTGATTTAGATTCGCGTCGCACTTTTTTTTTTTTCTTATATCCGTGGCAGCAGCGGAACAATGGTGTCACTCGCGAACGGAGCCATGCACGAGGTTTTCGACGACACTTATTTTAGCCCATAAGACTTGAATAAAGCGCTCTTTCGTCTTAAGCCAAAATAAAAACAAAACGAAAACAGAAAGAGAAAAACGGTAGCACACTAGTGGCAAAAGTGGTATCCGTTTCGCCACACAAGAAGCGGAAAAACTGATGACTCACGTTACAACATTCGTGCAAACGTAACACTACAAGTCGACGCGACGAGACTCGACTCACAACTGAAACGCTCCGGAGCGGTCGACGTGGAACGCCGCTCGCCCTTCACGTCGCCTCAACCCTCGTTGTTCCCTTACTGTTCAGCTGACTTCCCCCACTATACCACCGCAGATTCGCTCCCCCGGGGAGCATCTCTCCCCTTCTTCGCGTCTCCGCGACAACATCGTGGGCGCCCCCCTACCCTCCCCCCTTCCCTCTCCACGACATCGGACGGTGTATCGCGACTACGACGCGCGGAGCGACACGAAACACCACGAGCGGCAGCGACTAACCAATGCGGGCGAAAGAGGCGAACGCAAAGGTGACGGCGGCGGCGACGACGACGGCGGACGTAGCGACACGGTGGTCGTTGTCGGTTCGCGCTACTCCGACACTTTTGCCGGGTGCGAGCGACCCGGCCAACGACGTGTCAACTGGCACGGGGTGCCCTCTCGCGACTCCCACCACGACCCCGCGCCACCGCTGAGGGAGTTCTCTCGTGCATGTACTGCTACTTCGCACTGATACTGTTACCTCCAACGTTCGGGCCTGGCATCGTGGCGTTGTTAAAGAGGTATGGATGCCACCGTATAACGCCCCGGCACCTGCACGATCTCACGATACGCGCCGCGCGCGCGCGCGCGCGAGTGTGCGAAATGATAAGGTTTACATGCGAGATTTGTTGAATGCGTAATCGTAAAACGGTCCGCTCTTAGCGTTTTGGAAGGATTGCGGCATTTCGTCGTTTACGCGAACAAAATAAAACACGCTCTCTCGCACGCGAGAAAAGGTTCTTGTACAATTGCGCGAACGTTGATTGATGAATTTGATGTCGAGGATTTTGTTTAGGAAAGAATTTTTTGGTTATCACAAAGGGAAAACGGGAGCTATTTTATATCGCGTTACAAAGCGTTTTATTTCGACATCGAATCCTAGGGCGATAAAGTAAAGCGATAAAGTATATCGAACAATTATAATATACCAATAAGTAGAGCGTGAAGCAGTATAACGATCGCCTTATGCACTTAAACGCAGCCTTTGTTCATGCGTTTACGACGATGCATTCACGCTTGAGGTCCAATATACGGCAAACGCATCGGGAGAGCGTTATAAAGGCTCTCTATCCGCAATAAAAAGGATATGCCTGAACACAAGGCACAGATAGTAAAAGATTTTCTATGTAATTTATTTAGAGCAGTTGTAAAGCCATGAAAAACTAAATAGCAAAAAACATCCTCGCTGTGTGTGTTGCAAACCATAATAATAAACACTAGTTCTGATATTCTACCGACTGTATAACTAAGCAATATAATATTTCTTCGACAACATCTAATATTTGCAGTTGTATGTGGTCATAAATATAACGATCGCAATTTTTTAGACATTGTAATTTATTACATTTTCTTTTAAATTTATTTAAAGTGATTATTTTGCATATATAGCCAAGTCATCTTATGTTTTGTGCGAACACAAATGTTTGTTGTCTGTATGTAAACTATTATTTTACTTCAGCAATCACACTCTTTGTGTGTGTGTGTAGAGAAATAGAATTTTATATTTATGATACATGAATGAAAATTTAATACCGAAATAAATTTAATACGAAAACGTTTAAAACGCCTGGTACGCGGAGTCTAATGCATATTGTAACAATTAATGAATTTGACTAAAATGGATTGAAGTGGCAATGGCAATGGTGCATGTTGGCGGATACGGATGCGTTAGCCGATGTATCGAAATGCATATCAATTGTTTCATGGAAATTCGAGTGTCAATTCCTCTCATTACTATTCGCAAAATTATAGGGGAGTTGTGCGCGGCGCGCCATGATTGTGTTGCACGTGCCACGCGGAAAAGGTGATTTACGTAATTCGTATTGATTATTGACTCTCTCTCGTACTGTATCATGTAACCTGATTTAATACGGTGCTTTAATTAAACATTAAGAGAAGACCATTCGCGACATTAACGTGACATTTGTGAAAACGGTAGTGGTGATGGGGATGCGTGAAACACCGCGGTGTTTATGTCGCAGAGATGCATATTAAAGAGATAGATATTAAAAATCATGAATCGGCAAATTTTCGATTTCGATTATTTCGATTTATTTTAAAAATCAGAATAAAAATATATTTTTACATACGCCCGTGTATTCTGTCAGTCGCAAAACGTATGAAATGTAGTTTTGCAAAACAAAACAAAAAATATTTTTAACGAGACTGGCATAAATTTCGTTAATAAATTGTTTGCTACTTCTCGTTCGCAACCCTCTAATCGAGAGAAATATGCGTGTTGTTGCTTCTCTCTTTGACGCAAATTTACATGCGCGAATCTGTGTGCGCGATATCGCAATGTCGTTAAATCGTAATAAATTCGCGCTGTAAGTACCCGCTCTCTAAGTTCGTAATTTCTCAGTGAGCAGCTGCGACGCGCGCAAGAAAGGCTGAATTACTTGTTACTCATTTCGACTTCGCTACCCTCCTCCTTCAACGACCCGTCGTCGTCGGTTGGTCTGATGTTGCAGATAATACAAGACACTCCTGCCAGGCTGCCTCAGTCGGCGCCACATAAACACGTCGTCCTCGTCTGTTCGGGCCCGAGACAGAGAGAGGGGAAGAGGCACGGATAATTATACACCGCTCTCATCTCTCACCAAAGCGTATCCTCTAACTAGCGCTAATAACGCCGCTAATGCTCTTCCGTGGAAACTGTTCGTATTTAACAACCGCCCGGAACGTCGTCCCGGCAGGAAGATAAGATAGAAATAGTGCCGGGGATATTGTTGCCCGGGTTTCTTTCGGATGGGAAAGCGCCGAGACTTGTGCAATATGTGACTATTAGCGAACCATTAGCCTATTAACTCTTTACAACGTCGTCGCGTTTCTCGCGTTATTTAAATAAAATAAAAGCGACAGGATTTTTATTTTTTAAAACATTAAATTCTCTTCGAATCAACATGTTTTTGTAAAAATATCACTTGTGGTAATGTTTTTCTTTTTTTTTCTTTTTTTGTTTTTAATTCTATCATTTTCTGACGTATTCTGACGAACGTGTTACTCGTTGGCAGCTTATTTTTTTGCGGCAACTAAAAAAAAAACATTACACGCGGTTTGTTTACAATTTAACGCTCATCTTAATAATCTCATTGCTTGTGCATACTTATCGCTCGATAAATGATAGGCAATTAGCATGCGCATATAAAAACTATTTTTATTTGAGTCAGCGCGCGTACGTACAACATATGTGCGTATCTAATGCAACGATTTATATGATTCCGTGAACATTACGTCAACCTAATGCAGAACGAGCAAACATTTACAAGCCCGTGGTTGCGACAGAATGATAAATGATTAACATGAATATTGACTATGAAGCAGCGATGTTACATTACGAACCGGAACAAATCATGAAGCATGATGTATGGATCAGAGAGATTGTCACGTTACTTATGGCAGTGAAGCATCAGTAGAATCTACTTCCTTGATGGGACGAGAGATCATGACGCATAGAAGAATATAAACAGCGACGAAACAAAGAGATTTTGACTATGAGATAGCAGTCATATTTAACTGGCAACGAGTAATATCATACATACATATTGGTATAATAAGAGATAATCGAGGTTTTTTATTTCGTTTTCTAAGTCAGTTTTATACACGACATACGCGATTGCGCTAAATTATACGTATTGTGAACAGACGAGCAACAATTTAAAAATTATATGGTACACTCTTTTTAAAGATATTTTAAATAATTTATATGATTTTATTTTTATATATTTTTTATATATTTTTTTATATAACATTAATGATTACAATAGTTAAAGTTAAATGCAAATACATTTACATGTTTTAGAGGAGTTTGTAAAATGTTTATAGAGCAAAACGATACTCACGGACCGATTTAAATAATAACTAGTTCTCTCTCTCTCTCTCTCTCTCTCTCTCTTTCTCGTTTGATAATATATTATAACACAGTTTCTGCAATCAATTAAGGTCAATTAACTATTTAAAGACGTGGACTACATGGAATACTGCAGATACGAAAATATACGATATCTGACCTGACCTGTTTACGACCGACAAATATTTCTCTCTCTCATTCAAACTTCGCGAGATATCTTACAATAATTATACCTGATGCTACTCGAGTATGACATGTAGTTAAGTGACACATATCGTTTTCTCATTTTATACGAGAATGACGTAAAGAGAATTTATATGACGCTCGAAAGCTACAGTTAATGCATACGGCACATGGTTTGTGCGAACATTATCGTTATCGGTCTCCGGTAATAACAGACTATGCAGCGCGTTGCGCGCAATTACGCGAACGATTTATAGGTTTTCGTCACGCAGTTCTACTTCCTTTGACTTCTTAATGACTGTGCCGGGGCTTCTGAAGTTATTCCGGCGGGAAGTTTCCATTATTTTCCATCATCTCGCGATCAATCATGTTAATTAATGCCTAGGAGCAACACTTGGCGCGGTGTTCGAAAATTACTCGAATAATTGTGTTATAAATCGCTCTTCTACGAAACAACAACCGATAATATTTTTCCACCTGACCGTCATTTTTCTCTTTCACCCTTCTTTTCTCTTTTTCTGTGTCCCGAAGGTTCTCGAAGAACTTTTTTAAGATTAGCTCTCAAATCCGACGCGCCGCCGTAGAAAGAGGGAATCTCGTTTGCCACACTTCGGAGCTGACTTTGCCCGACTTGCCGTAGTCCGTGATTCCTCACGCGCGTCATCGTGTCTCAGCGTAGCTCAGCTACTCCGGCGACGGATAATCACCCTCCGCTCACCGCACATCGATCAGGCGAAGCGTAAACACGATTAGTATAACGCACGGGTAATGAACTAATCCCGCCACGTCGTCGACGAGCACGAACGCGTACGGAACGCGCGAGGTGGCGGCTCGACGCTCGGTCGACAACGTTCGCGTGACGTCGCTGACGTTTCTTCATCCTTCTCTTCACCTTCTCATCCTTCCACTTCTCGGCGCGTTTTCTTTCCCTCTCTTTCCCTCTCTCTCTCTCTCTCTCTCTCTCTCTCTTTCTCTCCTTCTCTCTCGCTCTGTTTTTTTTTTCAATTTCTCCCTCCTCGTC